GTCACCAAGGGCATGTTGTACGCGAGTGCCAAAAGATCAACTCGATGAACTTTCGCCCGTTTTTTCTTTTTTAATTTGGCAGGCCCTTAAAAGGCAAATTGGGGCGCGGAAGGAGATTAATTAGATGATAATGGGTCGATTAAGGATTTTCCGAGAGCGCTATTGCCAAAGGGATTTTTTTTCGAATAGGAAGACTGGAAAAAACAAGTCAATTTGGTCGCTTAATGGAGGGACGAGTTGGAGTCGTAAAAGTCGCCTAAAATGGCCAGGACACTTGTGCGACGCAAGAGATACATATAGGCACAGACGCGACGCCCGAACTAGGCACAATAACTCGTAATCGGCGCGCGCGGCTGCTCTGGTCGGTTTAATGAAGTGAACTGTTAGTTTTTTTTATTTTTAAGTGAGTCGTTGGATGAAATTTTATTTTATTGCGTTAATTTATCAAAGAAAATTTAATTGCGAAATCCCAAATTAAACAATTAGAAAAAACCTATGCATTCAAAAAAAGGGGAAGGTGTTCGAAATCAATTAAAATGTAAAAAAAAAATTTCGGGCTAGAGGTTATTAAGTGTTAATTAAAAACAAATTAATAATATTACAGTCGTTAATTGCAATAGTTCATTTTCATTCCTCAGAACAAAATTAATTTCATTAAGCATAAAATTAGTTTTTGGCACAAATGTTATTTTAATAATAAAAAAAAAAAATTAAAAAAATAAATAAATAAACGTTAAATTTACAGACGTAACTTTGAAATGAGATCTATATGAGTCTAAATAAAGATTCAAATAATTGAGTTTTCATTCTAATTAAAAAATTCTTCATTAAAAAACAATCAACCAACACAAGCAGATTTTAATTGAACATTTTCCCAGTTATTATTGATCTCCCAAAAGATATTGTTCAAAATACAAACCGTCAATGTAATTACCTGCCCTTCTGTAATAAGAGGACATAGCGTTTCAAAATAAGCGAAAAAGAAACGCGCGTGTGTCTGATTTGGCGTCTTTGTGCGGACTGAGCACCGCAGGATGTGATTAGCGCCTCTCCGTGCGTCTCCACATCTTTACCCTTCCATCGAGCGCCGCCACCGCTCCTGCCGACTTCCATTAATAACGCCCGCTGCACGGAGGCAGCGGCGGAAAAAGCAGTGAATCATCTCGCGCAAAGAATCAACATTTTTTTGCAACACCTCTTTACCGCACAACACAGAAAATTGCATAAAGCTTGTCATACATATTTGCAATCGAGATCAGAACAGATTGACGTGTTGTTTTCTCGTCATGAGAAGATGTTTCTTTCTGCGTGTTTGATTTGCATTTTGCGGTCTGCGAACGATTTTGAGAATCAAACGGAATATTTATCGGTCTTTTAAGAAACACATTTGAGTGTGTTTGCGGTGCTGGTTAACTTTTGAGTGAAGACCAGTGTCTGAGACTAGCTCATCGTTTAGATCATTTCCTATAATTATGCTAATTTGATGAGGCATTGCGAACACTTGCACTTACAAAGAAAATTCTAGAAAATTTTTATGCAACATGAAAAATTTTAATATTAATCTTCACGGATATTAAACAGAAGATTCCCTAAAATTAAACCGTTTATAGCGGAAAATTAACAATTAATTTTGCATATTTGAGCAAAAATTATATCCCCCAACCCTATGCAGTGCAGCGAGTAGTTGGGCCTTGGTAAATATTGGTGAGATGTTTTTACAGATTGTGTATTGTGTGCCGATTTGTATCCAACAAACTTTTCCAAAAAAGGTTATTTTTGGGTGGTTTCAGCTTATAAACAAAAAGTCACAATAAAACTGACATTTGTACAACCACCTTTTTTTTTATAATCGTTAACCCACGGAGACCAAAATTCAGACGGATAACTTGAATACGAAATGAGAAGAAAGTCATTTGCAAAAAATAATTGTAGACCGCAATCAAAGCACCTAAAAAGGCGCTGGGGAGTTTTCCACTTTGGGTTGGCCAAGAAGATGATTCACATCTTGATGGCTCTCTGTGAACTTCTTTTTTTCTGCAGTTAAAAAATATTAATATTATAAAACATACTTGGGTGGCAAAACCCGCTGACAAGGGGCACGTTCGATCAGAGAGCAATCGAAGCGAAAGAGAGCCAGCGGATCAGATTTATCGCGTGCTTATTAATTCAGTCGAACCGCAAACCTTGGGTGGCCAACAAAGAGAGCACTGACGGCCAGCGTGTTCTCCACTCTTGGACCGACTTGATCGTTCGTAAGCCGGCCATTGTCCCTGACTGCACATCCACCGTCGTACGCGCATAATAATGAAATAAATAATCGATTAGATAATTGATTCAGAGCTGTAAAAAAAATGCTCGACGACTGACTGACAACAGCGGGTAATTTACAGGCGAATTCAATGTCACGATTAATATTAAAGAAGGCGCGAGGCTCATTGAGCAGCGCTGGTAATTGAATTTTGTTTGACGCTGTTGCCTTCATGTTTATAGGCACGGCTGAATCATTAATTAGCAGGAAATCAGCCGTGTCAGCATGATTTTTAATTATTAGCGTTTTTGCACCTGTGTAATTAATTGAAACGTGATTTGCGTTGGGATACATGGCAGCAGATAAAGTTGAATTTTAATAGCATGGGCTCAAATAAAGTAGTCTGTACTTAATTAAAAAATGAAAGAAATTTAAGTAAAAAATATTTCAATTTTCATCAGTGTAGTTCTTTGGAAGGATCATTGCAGAAAGTATGTTTGGAAAGTTGGATTTTTATCCAAAAAAATTTCTAGATTAAAAATTAATTTAAATTTTTTAATTTATCTACCTTTCATTCCATTCCACCCTAATTTAGCATAGTAATAATTAAAAATAATTTACTAAAATACAGGAGTAGAATCAACGAATCAAAATAATTTTTATTTTACAAAATAGGAGCAGAATAAAATGTTTAATTCTCTCCGCCTTAATTATTTAGAAAAAAATTACTGTATTTTTAAAAATAAATCTCAAGCTTGCTATTTTCAGTTTTACAGTTTAAGATAAATAAAGGTTTCTGGCATTTTTCTCTGCGTTTACAAATTTGTATCAACTTTGGAAGCTTTCCAGATAGCATAAAAATCTCTCTTTTGAAACGTTTGGTATGGAATATTTATTAACTCTGCGATTCCTGATAAGTGCGTTGCCCACACGTAGTGTAATTATTGGCCAGTCTTGAGAATACCCTGCCAAGTGGTCTCGATGGAAAGGAGAGCAGAGGATGCATTGAAAAAATTGTTGCGGTATACAAATCCCACGCAAAAGCTACCTCACTTTCATGACTTTCAAGGGAATTTCAAATCTTTTCAAAATTCTTAAAAACTTTCTTAGTGTTAGAATAAATTTACAGAGTATGTAAATCTAGAAAAATGAAAGAGTTTCTACAAAAATTGCGAGTCTTCTACAACAAGCAATTGTTCCTAAAAAATTACCTGACGAAACAAATTGAAATTGAATACGCAGAAGAAAAATGCGCAGCTTGTATTGCAGGGTCATGGATTTGCTGTTCAGGACGTGGTTGGTCTTCATTTATCTTTGATACGCCAACTGAACGAGTCCAAAATGGAAAAGCCTGCACCGCCCTTTCATCATACAAATGTGACGAGCAGCTTAAATAACAATCTGCGTATTCCCAGCTCGCCCATCATCAATTAAATGTATTCTAGTATCATCGCTGCGTAATATTATGCTCCACTGAAATACTTTTGCTACATGTAAACATGTTTAAATTACTGGCTTAAAAGCCTATATTTTTCATCAATCAATCTTTTACATCCTTCTTACAAAATTGGATATAAAACGAAAAAAGATTAATGATGACCGGAGATAAAAATTCACATTCACACCATGGAGAATTAATTAGATTCGGAATTCAAATTACAAGAAATTGTCATTCATTGTCATTATAAAAAAATAAAAACTTTTATAGATTTTAAGATTTAATAATTTTCTGTTAAAAATAGATTATTTTTTTAGACACAGCCTTGTTGGTATTCTTTATTTTAAATTATATCATCAATTGAACTTTGATCTTGATAAATAATGTGCAACATTTTGCTTGATATAAGCTGTTATAGTGTTAGAAAAGCATCTTTTATGCAAGACGACAAGTCGAAAACATGTGTTTGTGCAGTTGTATGTAAAATGGTAAATAATCAAAAGGCCGCCAGCAAAAGAGAATAAAATAAAAATTGTACAGCGGCTTGCGATTTTCTGAGACTCTCATAATGTGAGAGAAGTAACGCGACACCTTACGCATCGTGGGTACATGTTCGCGGTGTGCGTATTGTAAGAAGAAGTACTTCAAAGTGAGCCGCCTCCATCAACTCGGGTGTCCGGTAGGATCACCTTCGCACTTAAGTCAACCATCCTATGGGGAATTTTTTCACTTTATTAACGCTTGAAATGATAACGCGCTCTTTATTGGCTGGTTTTGGTTTGAAAACTCTACAAAAATGTAAGACCAAAGTGGACAAAGTAAAATTTTAAATTTTAAATAAATAAAAACATCAGCTAAATTTTAGAGAAATAATTTTTTCGTTTTTTAACAAGAAGAATATTTATTTTAATAAAAAATGATGACTAATGAGCTGTGAAATTTGTATAACGGATAATTTTATTACTTAATTTTTTTTATAATTTATTAAATTGTCCCATGGTTTTTTCTAAACGATTGTTGAGCATATTTTACCTTATATGTATTTACTTTTGACAACATCAGTACAAAAAATACCTTTGAATTTTAATCAAATTTTCCTATCATTTTACTCAATTTGACCAATTCTTTGCGGGCTCAAATTCTAAAAAATTTTTGCACATAGCAAATCATATTAATAAATCAGGATTTTTTTAAGACGAAACAATTTGCCAAAATGTAAATCTTTCTTTTGTGTCCCTGAAATAAAATTTAAAAATTTCCTGCTTAAATTAATTCTTTGGAAGTGAATTAAAGTAAATTATTTCTGGTACTCACTCAGCTTTGCAGGAGTGGCAGCAACTGGCGTGGCAGGTATGCAACTGGCATGACCCTTGTGCGGAGTGGCCTGCGGACCAGCAGGGGCACTCTTGGCTGTGGCCATCGGCTTCTGCAGACCTGAAGTCGGACGAGCAATCTTGCTCGGTGGCTTCAATTTTGAGACGGGCGCCGCCGGGGGCGGCAAACTGTCTCCGGAGGCGGTCATCGCCTCGCTCGGAGCGGAGGACTCATCTGGTGGAGGCACTGGAGGCGGATCTGCCATCTCCGGAGGCGCATCTGACGAATCCATTCCGATTTTAACACACTTTACGAGGAGCACCAAAAAATTGTCCGAATCTCGTTTGTCACATTAGAATTTTCTCCTCTTCAAACTATAGTGCAGGTTTCATCCTAAAAATAAAATATAAATAAATAAATATTTTCTTTAAAAAATAAATAATAACTTTGAAGTTTGGGTTCGAATGGAGGGAGTAAAAAATGTGGGAGAGCAATGAGCGAGCAGCAATAAAATGAACGAGGCACATACAAGTTTTGCGACCTTTCACGGGGAGATTTGCTTGATTGCACCTGCAGAGCACCCTGAGTGGAATGTTGCAGTTCTCCACTGACGTCACTCTCCACTTTATTTATATGTGTGCTCTAATTTTATCAGGCAAGCCGGTTAAAAATTGGGAAATTTTCTCACGCATCGTTGAAAATTGAGGGTTGCAAAAATCTAGGTAGCCATAGCTAAGTAACGCATAATTTTTTTTAATAAAATTTAATTATTTCCACGAAATTTGGGGACCGATCAAGAGGGCTCACAAATATCTCGGCATATTTAACGATCAAATTGAATGACGGCCGAGGAAACGTTGTAATTGAAAAACGAGAAATTCTAGGTTTTCAATCATGAAGCTATACCTGTGGAATTCCTCCCAAAATTCACGAAAAAACGTCCACAAAAGTCACTCCACACGTAAAACGAAAATCAAAATTTTGACTTGCGCGACGCAGACTGTCTGTCTGTTGTTTTCTATAACGTATTTGCTTAGTTCTGGCAAGATTCCGCCAGGTGCTGACACCGTCAATAGAGTTTTGCCAACGTAATAGGAAATTAATTAGTATCATAAATGACTAGTTTGACAATTATTTGATAATTTTATAATATTTAATTTTTAAATTATGTTTTATAATTATTAATTAGCAAAAATTTTATCTTTTATTCACATATTAAAGAAACTTTTTATTTTAAACTTCTTTGTGTCACGCTGGCGAAATTGGATTTCAAGACCACCTGACAAAACGTCTAGTTGAGTGCCAAAAACATGGAATTTCACGTCAAATAGCCAGTTAGTCTCTATTTCCAGCTTCCAGCATGCCGTTTACGACACCGCTGCTCTGAGAAGTTATTTTTTTCTTGAAAATGTTCGTTCCGCACAATACCCCAAGCTTTGATTCCCACCAAATGGATTAAAAAAAATTAAAATCCGCTCTGTAAAACGAAAGCAGCATTGGTGCCGCCCGAGTGCTGCTTCAGTTTTTTTCAACCTTTCGGTCTCCGTCAAGCAACCTGACGCAATGAAACTAGCAGGCAGATGCATCGAAAAGGACGGGAAAGGGTAAAATAATTTTACAAACTTTTGAGTTGCGTACAAGGACGATTTTTCAGGTACGTTTCCCTGATTCCTGAGGAGCCTGAGGACATGTGGCACGCCTTCAATTTGATTTGCGAAGGTGACAGCGTTCGAGCATCGACTGTCAGGTGCGACACTTGATTATTTTGAATTCAATAGTTATTTGCAAAATATTCAAATTTTAACTAATTTACTCTAAAATTTTAGAAAAGTCCAAAATCAAACAGCCACAGGTTCTTCAACAAGCAGCAAAGTTCGAACAACACTCACCATTGCTATCGAGACGATTGATTTTGATACTCAGGCATGTATGCTCAGATTAAAAGGCAGAAACACAGAAGAGAATCAATATGTCAAGGTATGGGAAATTACAGTGTTTTTTTTATGTAGAAATTTAATTCTTGCATTTGTGTTTCAGATGGGTGCATATCATACAATAGACTTGGAGGTCAACAGGAAGTTTACTTTGTTGAAGCCTGAGTGGGATTCGATATCTTTGGAAAGAGTTGACCAAGCGTGTGATCCAACCCAAGTAAGAAAATCATAATGCATTACAATTTAAAAATTAATTTTATTAAAACTAGCACGCTGAAATTGCTGCCGTTGTCATGCAAGAAGGATTGGCTAATATATGTTTAGTCACATCTTGTATGACCATAGTCAGAGCTAAGATCGAGCAGGCAATTCCAAGAAAGAGAAAAGGTCACGCACAGCAGCACGAAAAGGTTGAAAATTGAAAATGCAATTCCAAATCATGACTAATATTTTATTTCAGGGGTTGCAGCGATTTTTCGAAAGCGTGCTTCAGTCTATTCTCCGTCACGTCAATTTTGATGTAGTCAAATGCGTTCTCATTGCTAGCCCTGGTTTTGTGAAGGACCAATTTATGGAATACCTGGTTCAACAGGCGTCAAAAACTGATAACAAAGTTCTAATTGACAACCGGTCAAAATTCTTACTTGTTCATGCGTCAAGTGGCTTCAAACATTCTTTAAGAGGTACTTTTTACTAGCTCAGAAATAATTGGAAGGAAAACTGGAATTTAAATTTTTCAGAGGTACTGGCAGATCCAGCAGTTATTTCAAAAATGGCAGACACAAAAGCAGCTGGTGAGGTGAAAGCTATGGAGACTTTTTATACTATTTTGCAAACGGAACCAGCCCGTGCCTTTTATGGTCCAGCACATGTTGAAAAAGCAAACGCTGCGCAAGCCGTCGAGACTCTTCTTATTTCGGATAACCTATTTCGGTATTTTGATTTTATCAAATGTTGAATTTATGCTGAAAAACATTTCCCACAGTATCCAAGATGTAGCTCAAAGGAAAAAGTATGTGGCTTTAGTTGATTCCGTCAGAGAAAATGGGGGTGAGGTCAAAATCTTCTCCAGCTTGCATGTGTCGGGTGAACGTAAGTTAATTGGCACAGTTGCATTTGTCGTTCCTAATTTGATTCCACCTCAGAGCTAGCACAGCTCACTGGAGTGGCCGCGATTCTACGTTTTCCAATGCCCGAGCTAGAGGACGAGGAGGAAGAGGAAGTTGAGGAGGCAGCAGGCGGTGAGTCCAGCTCAGGAGCTAATATTAAAGTGAACGAATGACTTCACTGCTCAGCCTTCAGTTCCTATTCAATTGACATATTCAAAAGTTCATGCCGCAATGCATTTCCATCAGGTTGTGAAATTAGTAAATCTTCGCCGCGGATTCAAAATTAGTCTCGTGCTGCAAATCTATTGTAATTAGCCTCCCCTTAATTTATTTGTTGCATTCTTACTTGGTCTTTGGACCAAAAAATTACTGAAGAAGTGATCGGTTTGAATTAATTTAGAGCCTTGATGACACTCAAACCCGCTGACTTGCTCTTGCACGTCCTCCCTTTTTATTTAACTACTTACTGTTGAAAATGACTGATTTAAAAAAGCGTTAATTGAATTGAATCCTTTCTCATTTCTATTGAAGCTTTTTAAATTCTTTGTTGCTAATTATTTGTGTAAGTGCTCTTTGCTGCTGCAAAGCCGATTCTAATTTTCAAAATTTGAAATCAAAAAATCTCCAACCAAGTCAGTGGATTTATTTATTTACAATGAATTAAATTTTAAAGGAAACTATTTGACGTCGCCCTCTTTCAATTAGTGAAATAATTTGTGCTTTTCTTCAAGATAAGTTAAATAATTTTGAATTCATCATTCTCATGTCTATCCCCCTCCCAAGCTTTTAGTACTCCAATGCTTTGTGAAAAGCGCGTTAAACTTTATTTAAGAACATAAACTGTTCCTCTTTGTTACAATAAAATGGGATGCAAACAAAAATAATCACCAATTTTTTTCTTCTTGAAAATGCACTACTTGATCCTTGCGTAAATTGCTATTGAGTCGTGTGTGTTTCCAATTTTAATTCCGTCGACCACTGTCCACTCTTCGGTTAGTGACTGGAAGGGTTGAGGGTTGCTGTGGGTGCCGCTGCCCAAAACAGGGCCACAAACAATAATAAGGGACCCTTTAAATTTTGCCAAGTACTCCATCCACGCCGGCTCACAATTGAAGTAGCAAAACAAAAGCGCTGTGCTCTCATTCAACAGTGATTCAGTAACTGCACTGTCGTTGGGGTAGTTTAGGGGATGAAATACAGGAGGAGCATAGACTGATGACCACCATTCTTCATCAACTTCAACCCCTATTACATTTAGCTCTGGAAAGAAATTTTATTTTGCTTTTCATGGATCGTTACAAAAAAATTTGTTTTTACCTTTGACGGCGCACTGGATAATCCATTCAAGCAATCCAGTTCCACAGCCAAGACTTAACAATCTGTTGATGTTATTTCTTTTTAAGTGCTTTTCAATAAACTCGATTGCATTTATCGTCGGCCGCGGCCAAAGCAGAAGGGGTTTGTGCTCACCCTTGCACAAATATTCGACAACTCCGCACCAATCACCTGAAATATAGAAAGTTTATTATTAATGCTACGCACTAGAGATTTTCATTTAAGTAAATTTCCATATAATTTTAGACTAAGTAAAAACTTTGATTTTTATGCTTTTATATTTTTTGTATAGCATTATTGAATATTTTAGTTAAATAAATTTTATTAAAGTAGCTCACTTACCTGCTCTGCACATAGCAAGGACCTCATCATTACGGTAATCACTGATTTCTTGTGCACAAGGCATTTTTTTAACGCAGTTTTTGCACTTTCACTTGCTTTCACTAATTCTATCTACAGTAGAGTAGAGTAGCCCAACTGTTTGCTAATCACAAGCCTGCGAAGCCTCACAAACTAAATTTGCCATTCTCTCCGTCAGCTTATCTGGGATGTGATGTGACTGACGAAAGCCTCAGAGCCGCGTGTCTAATCGTACCTTGCCAAAATACATGGTATAGATAGATCGTTTTGGCAAAAGTCGCCTTTTGTGTTCTGAGCCAAATCCCTTGAAAGAAGAGCTACTTACTAAACAAAGGCTACAACACTTTTCATTTTAATTGCTTAAATTTCGAATTCCTTTTTATATTTAAATAAATATTACATGTTGTACAACTTGTGAAATTAAATTTTTGTGATACGCTTTGAATGGAATAGTTAATTTTACTTATCAGATGGGCGAAATGTTGGGGAAAACTTTTTAATTTCTATTTGACTTTGTCTACCAACATATAATCCATCGTTCTCCTAGGGATGGTAACACGTGAGTTTGATAACGCTGAACCAAATTTTAATTTATCTAGTCCATATAATATATTATGGTTCATCTGGGAAATTATTTGATTTAGGGATATAAAAATAGTTTGATGCAGGTTTGATGGATTAAAAAACCTTGGCTTAATTTTTATTTAAAGAGGCTTATTGAGCTCAAAAATTAATTCTTTGTGAATTCTCAAATAATTAAATCTAAAGGTAAAGATATATGTTCGGAATTTATATTTTTGAGAGTTAATACATAAGCGCTGAAAAATATGGAACTAAAAAATTCGCAAATTTCTCATATTGGCCTATTATAGTTTTCAATCTGCCAATTTTGGTTCATTTACCAAGATACGTGACTGTGTAAAATTAACTGTTCATTATTATTATCACGTCACTGGAACACTGAAACGAATCTATGATGGATTTGTTTCTGAGCTTACATATTGTATTAATCATAATTTATAATTTTAATATTATGAACATTAAAATCTTTTTCACATATATATTCATTATTACACAATAATACTTAATCAATAATTATAATTAATAACACAAAAACGCAATCTATATCGATTTAAAAAAAAATCTTAAGAAATTCTGGCAATTCGTAAATTCCTTGAATTCCATAAAATAATGCTTGATAATTGACTATAAAAGTTAAAGTTACTATGAAAAAATTATTTTGATGTCTTTTCAGATTATTTAAACTCGTTTATTAAAAAATAATATATACTTAACATCAACATCATATTTGTGATGAAATTGACAAATTTCTTATAACTGTGTACACTGTGTATTTTAATAAAGCCGACTTAGCTGACATGACTTTGAGGCGGCGCACAATTATGTTTTATCGCTACAAAAATATTTCGGAAATGAAATATTGGAAATATTTGAAATATTTCGTAGTGTTGCATTGCAGCCAGTTAGCGTCATGAGCGACCTTCCAACTTGTTTTTCCTGTTGCTGCGCACACCGCACAGTCACAGGAGTCGCCGTTATTGCCCCTAACTTCATTTGTCCTAAAACCAATATCTTCATTTGCCCTAAAATGAAATGTCCTAAATTTTTCACTCCAAATCCCCTAAAAAGTAAATGTCCTAAAAACATTTGCCCTAAAACTAAAAAAATCTTTGACAGCCCATTCTGATCACTTCTAGTTAACTTATAATAAATTTTTGTCAACCTTCATTGGTAGGGGTAAAACAAAAGTGTATAAAAACCGACTATTTCATCTTTCATTGGAAAAATAGACTGAAAACAAAAACTACAAAAAAAAAAAAATATTAAAAAGAATTAGTGGTTTGCTCGCAGAAGTTATTCAGATCTGGATATTTTGAGTTGAAATGTTAGAAAATTGATGAAGCTTTGTTTATTTATTTCAATTTGTCTTAAACATAACGGAAATAATTAATAAAATTAACGTACAAGTGCTTCTATTCACCTTAATCATAAAAAATAATTATATTAAAAAAGATCCGAATTCATAAGCATTGACTAAAAATAATAATATGAATGTACTTGATAAAGAAAATGTAAATTTCTACAGTGGACACACACTTTGAAACGCCACCACTGGCAAAGACACAACCATGATCATCTGTATATTTTTTTTTAAAGTCTGCCTCAGTTTTATATAGATTTGTATAATAGTACCTTCCTGAAAATCGCCTAGAATAATGAAGTACTTTTCGGGGAAATGGTTTAGGACAAATGCATTTTCGGGTAAATGCATTTTATGGGAAATGAAAAAATAATTTAGGGGAAATATTTTAGGGCAAATAATTTTTGAAACATTTAGGAGGTTTGAAATTAGGGGCAACGCGGGTCTCCCAGTCACAGACCCGGCGCACTCGGCAACAGCAGTTAAGTCTTGCTGAGCCATGCAATATATGGGTAGACTGGTTAGACTTTTTCTTGCACCGCTACCAGCAAGAACTTGATGTGCCCACGGACTTTGGATTTGGGACACTATAAGTCGGTAACTTTTACTACATATTATTTTTTAATTTGCCTTCTTTAGTTTACGATATTGCTGTTAGTTTTTTTTTGCATGAGAATGAGATGCATGGCATGGAGTCATATATATAATTATGGACCTATTAAAATTGTAGTTTATTTTGTTGTATATATGTACTTGTGCAATTGTGTACTGTAGTTACTATGTTATGTACACAATTTTTAATCACACGCACACGTTATTTTTGGTGAATCCCCCTACATATTTCAATCTTTTATAATTTATATACATAATAATGATCTTATGCTGCACTGTCACTTATGGCAATTATACTATATTCTAATTTTATAATTCCATAAATAATAATGCGTAACAAATTTTAAATTTTGGCTTTTCTTTTTTAATTTGTGTTTACAGCTACGTTTACAGTTATAATTAAGGCCGATAATAAAAAAAAAAAAAAATGCAGAATCGTGTAATAAATTTTACATAATTATTGACCTTTTATTTGTGTGATCTGCACTTTTGATCAAATTTCTTATATTTTTTTCATTTTTTTCATTTTTTTCTTCCAAATTTCACTAATTTTATCTTATAATGTTGTATTTATTTATTTTTAACAGATTTCAATCACCACAGCGGTGAGCGTTGCAAACGATGAGCAGCACAGATGTAGTTTCAAGCTCCAATAAAGCTGCCATTGCACGTCAAGATGGGCCACTAATTCGTGACGACAGATCTCCTCTGAACTTGTCAACCAACTTTGTGCGACTGGACCTTGACCTGGCCCTCCATCGATTCTTTACTTTTCCAGCGGATTTCACCAAGAGGACCGGCCTCAACAGGGAATTTCTGTCGGATACTGGTTTTTATCTCTCTGCAGACGGCCAAACAATATTCTGCCAGTTCTGCAACTACAAGATCACCAGCTATGAAGATTGGAAAAATCTAAACAGTGCTGAAGATTACGACAACAAACATAGGGAGTCAAGCCCAACATGTGACTTGTTCAACAAAGAAACCCAAAACCTACCCTTAGAGCAAAATGACTGCATTAACTTCAGATTCGAGTCCATCAGACTCTTCTCCCTGCTCAAAGCCAACTGGACTTCGACCATGTCCGTCTACGACTTAGCTCGTTCCGCCTTTTACTTTGCTGGAGAAGAAGACAAATGTCGTTGTATTTTCTGCAAACTTGAAGTCCGAGGCTGGGAGCCTGGAGACAGTGCTAATCAGGAACATAAGAGGTGGAATACGAAGTGCCCGTTCATCTGCGGCACACAATTGGGCAATGTTAACATAGGAGACGAACTTGCTCCTTCTTCATCAGGAAACGCGCTAGGAGTGCAGCAAATCAACCCCTTTCTCAAATCATTTGATTACAGCAAATGTAAAACTTTAAATTAACTGATCTCTGTGACAAATCTAATTTATATTTCTTTTAAAACAGATCCCAAACTGAACGTTTTCTCTCGGAGATACTCCCTTGAGGCCCTTGGCGTACGAGACCTGATTCCTCCCAAGAATCCCAGCTATGCTAGCATCCATAGCAGAATCAAATCCTTCAAAAACTGGCCTAAGTCTATGACCCAGAGACCAGAAGATTTGGCTGCTGCTGGACTTTACTACACAGGAATCGGAGATCGTGTTTGCTGCTTCCAGTGTGGACTGGGGTTGAAGGACTGGGATTCGAGTGATGATCCTTTTGTGGAGCACATCACATGGAGCTCTACCTGCCAGTACTTGATGATGAAGAAAGGCATCAAGTTTATCCAAAAAGTCATGGAGAAAGCAAGCCTGTAAGTTTTTTTTGAAGCACACTTTTTGAAACCAATATAATATAATTTATTTTTTTGCAAAAATTGTATAATTTGTTTGGTCTTTTTAATTTATTTTTTTAGTGTGCCAGAGCTCTTGTGTGAAGGAGCTGAAAATGTTGAGAACACCAAGCGTGGATATTTGTGCAAGAAATGCAAAAAAGCAGACGCCAACATTGTCTATCTCAGCTGTGGTCACATGGTCAACTGCACTGGTTGTGCTGACGAGAACAGGAATTGCAGCACCTGCAACAATAAAATATTAGCCAAGTTGCAAGTATTTTTAAATTGATCCGTTTGCCATCTTTCATGTTCCAATCAATCCATACTCTTTTCATATTATATAAACTGCTACACACACAATGCTTATTATTCTACAGCTGCAAATCCTTACCCATCATGCTTCCTGCTTTATTTAAATATAATTTAACTATATAAAATACAGCCAGGGTTTAGAAACAGCAAACTTTATTACATTAGAAATCAAATAATATGACAACTTAACTATAAAATAGACTCTTGCACTTAACACAACATCCAAAGCATATTTACTATATAGTCTTGTCTCAAAGTCAGTTAAATGAAAAAAATTTCAATTGGTCAACCGGCTCAACCGCTTGGCGTTTTGTGAGAACGTTTTGATAATCGTGATGACTCGCGCTCCTCTTTACTTCCGCTATTGCGACAAGAAGCTGAACTTTTGACCTTATTATTCTCCACGGCAACAGTCTGATCTGGCTCAATTTTTTCTTTCAAATCTGCAAAATTCAATTTAGTTATTTTCTCAGAAGCATTATTATTTTTCAACAAACCTTTTTCTGTCAGTATTTTCTTAATTTCTTGGAATGGCAAATCCACTAGGAGAGTCAAAACGACAGAAGCAACAAGTACTGTCAAAACTTCTGATATTACAAACTGCAAAATTGATACGTATAAATTAAAAAAATTCGTTTCTGGCTTTATTTGGCACGGACCAAATCAGACATATTAGAATGCCCCGCAAACTTTGTAGTGCCGACGTTGTAGAAGTAGATAGGGAACTGGGTCAGGTAAACAGCATACGATATCTTGGTGAATATGAGAAATCCTCTCCATCTCATGAAAGCTCCTACCCAACCTGAAAATATGATTATTTAATTTTGTTGATTATAATTTTAAATCCGACAAACCTCCTCTTTTGTGGCACACAAAAATTAGACATATGATGAATAATGACCATAGAATTGGAGCCCAGGCAGCGTAATTTGCTGCCTCCCAGACATTGTATCTGTAGTCAAGCCTCGACATGTGGTACGGACTAAACCAGGGGTAAATGCAGATCAGTCCAATGAAAGCCCAAGTGAGCAACTCTGTGGTCTTAGGAAAAGAACAATAATTAAATTCAGTATTTTATTTTTCTTTATTAAAAAAATTACTTACTAATGTGAATTTGATTCCCTTTGGATTTCTTCGCAAGTAAAATCCAGTTAAAATTCCCATAATGTAGACAGTCAAGCGATGTGACGGTAGAATGTAGGATTTGTTGCAGGTGTCGAACATTTTCTTGACTCTTTATGAAAGAAATTATTTAAACCGTAGGCTTCTTGAAGCAATTAAATTTTTAAATTTTCTCTTACATAGAAATTTTTATAATTTACCAACAATAAGTGAACATAAAAATTAATAGCGAACGAATACACTTACGTGTTTCCAAAGTAGATAATACTTGAGAGCTCGTTGTTCAATGTAACAGAAAACCGCAACCAGGTAGAGAAGGAAGCTATAAGAATTAAAACAGTCGAGCCTCCTCGGGGCCACTTCCAAAGAAGGTAAATCAGGACAGGGCTCACCGCAAATAACTGCATGTCAATGCCCAACTGATGTGTGTGCGTCAAACACTGCAAGACAAAATTTTAAATAAAATAATGATTAGTAAATTAACTTTTTTTTTTAAAATACCATATTTTCAAATCCAAAATAGTTGTGAATGAAGAGGAAATTTTTCCACATGTGACTTTTGCAAATGTCTGAATAGTGTTTGACGACCAAATTCCACTGCGGTCCTGAGCCCATCAGTTGCAAAATGTATGTGCAGAACAGGATTATGGCCACGAAATTTGGAGAAATTCTTTTGAAATAATTTATTTAATTAAAGTTTCATTTAAGTAACTTATTATTTTTTAACCTTAGGAAGCGCGATTTCAGCTTTGACTTAAAACTCAAATTTCCTTTCTTGTCTAACTCCTTAACAAACGAGTAAGCGACGAGCATGCCGCTAATTACAATGAAAGAATCGGTGTACAAAATTGCTGTTCTCCCCATCACAGTCCATGGTTTGGTAAAACGCTATAATTTTTTATAATTATTTATTTTGAATAAGAAAACCAAAAATTAAATTTTTACCATGGTCATGACAGTTCTATTGATGTAAGGGTAGAAAAACAGAGCCATTGATTTGTGGCACAGCAGCAGTCCCAGAGCGTTGATAAATCGCAAACCATGGACGGGACTGATGTCATCCGAGGCACTTTTAGTGTTAATTAGCTCTGCCCACGTCCTGCGAAGCGAGAATGCAAGCAGCATTCTCTTCCATTTGCCTGTTTTTTTTTTTCATTGAAAAAGTTTTAAGTTCATAAAAATACTTTGTTAATACTTACTAAGTAATTTTACTTCCTTGTCAGATATGTCTACTAGTGATGCAATTATGACTGTTGAAATTAGAACCAAAAAGAGGCAGCTAAAAAAAAATCAGTTTAATAGGTTTAATCATATAGCTTTTTACTAATAAATAACGTTTGCTGATGGTATATGGAATATTTTTTTAATTATTTACTTTGAATAAAAGAAAAACAAATAATTAAACCCGCGCTTAGTTGAAAATGATTTTGAAAAATAATCTGAAAGTTAAATAATTTACAAACGGATTTAAAAAAGATTGCGTTGCAAAAAAAAAATAATTAATAATATGTTAGCGCGAGCGTGATAGAGCAAACTTTGTATAACTCAAACGCGGAGGTTTTTTTCTATGCAGAGTAATATAACTAATATAATATATAATTTTAGGTTTAGGTTTTAGGGGTTTTAGGTATGCGTATAATCCATTATTATTATTATGCTACGTGTTACTTTGGTTTATGGGTTTGCAATTTATTACAATATTTTTGTTAATGTAAATAAATAATGCCACTCACATTACTAAGCACGTAGTGGCGTCAGGACTAAAGATCTGAGCCTTGTACATCATTTGTTCATCGACTTTTATTGCCAGCCTGAATTCAGGAACATCAGATAGGGGTGCTAGGGCTTTTTTTAAACCTTGCTCTATATCCTTAGCACTACAAGTTGAGGGCACGCATATTCCCCAGTTGATTGTAGAATACCTAGGTATTCTATGTCCGGGCTGGAATTTAATTGTATTGGAGGAACAACTGATTGTGATAGTTTGAAATATTTTGGAAAACACCCTTTGGAACTTTTGAAAGTGAAAAACGATACTAAATTAATATGTATTGTATGTTTAAATATGAAACTTAGAAAAACAAAATTAAAAGTTCTTCCATTAAAAATTAAATTTGTTAAATTTTCTTGAGATGAAATTATGTTGTTACAAAAATAATTATTTTTATTCTTTCTTTGTTGAACTATTAAAAATTTTATTAACCTGTTATAAATGTAAGAACGCGTTTTTCATTTACGAAGCCCCAATAATTAATCGCATGTAAATGAATTCAATTTAGACTTACGTCAGAAAAATTGCTGCGAATGACGTCATACGAATGTGCCAACGCCAGCAGGTGTTTGATTTGCAGGTCAGCAACCTCCTGATCTCTGACCTGCAAGTCGAGGAAGGCGAGCGCGTACTGTCCCTTGATCGTTTCACCCGACTCGGACAAAGTGTGCTCGATTTGGAGACATTGGTCAAAATCACCGTACTGGTTCACATTTCCGTTCAGCAGCGACGGCGGAACCCGTCCAGTCGAGTCAAACACTGAAATCGAAAGTTTGCATATTTAATTTTGTCGACGTAGTGAAAATCACATCACGTACTTTGTAGAGCCCACAGTTCCAAATTATTGGCTGCAGCTTTCGCAATTCTTGAGTGTTCCCCGCATTTTCCAGACGCGTTGAACGTAGGATTGAAAGAGGTCATAGAGTGGAGCAGATTTTGGAAATTGGGTGAATATCGCCGCTGAGGTTCTTTTTTCGTCAAAAAGTTTATTAAAACAAAACTGATAATATTTGCAAATTCAATTTTTTTTTTCAAAAGTTTTTATTATTTTTAACATTTATTTACTTTTATTTTTATTAGCATAAAATCTTTTGAAAAGAATGAAGAATTTAAAAAAAATCCTCTAAGCAAAATATTATTTTTTACTTTGTTATAATTTGAATTTGATATTTTCATCCTGTAATAAACTTGTAAAAATATTTATATTGCAATTCAAAAAATAACTTGTAAAAATTGGTCAAATACTTGAAGAATTTGCGTAAAATAAAATTAAATGTCTCAGAAAAATGAGAAATTTTGCTGAAAAGTCTCACCTTGATATTGAAATTCAGAAGCATGACCGCTACCTTCATCATCCGCCTTCACACTTGGCTGGCCATGTGCAGCCGCAATACAAACCAGAAGTAAAATACGCCGCATATTTTCCTCCCAGCGTTTCAAGAAAATTTTGTCACTCACTAATATTTTAACTTCAGCCTTGAGTGTTAAATAGAAGAGCCGAATTAATTAAATGGATCGGCTGGGCCGATTGTAGCCCACTAAATAGACTCCCACACTTGCGCGCCGCGACGGAAGTATTCGCTTGCACTGGACATAGGCGCTGGCCAAACAGCCCATTTACCTCGGTGCATTATTATTACATTGCAATAACATTTCAATTTTATTGTTTCGCTGGGAAATAAACGCTGAAGACTTGGTTTCTTCATGTCTGGTGGGAAAAATATTATTGCTATTAATTCTTTTGCTGATCAGCGATGACCTACTAACCACTAAAAGCCAGACGAAGAGGAATGCTAACATTATTATATGCATAGGTAAGCGCAATCCGAAATAATTAATGATAAATTATTTGTTCTCATTGAGTCACAGCGTTCAATATTTAACAAATATATCCTGGAAATTTTCTCTATTTTATGTTATTTTAGTAGTACTTTACTTATTTAAAATTTCAATTAATTAGATTCATGAATATTATATTTCCAGTTTAAAATTTATTTCAATAAATACTTGAAACTTGAACTGTTTGTAAATTGACTAACAGAAATATTTTAAAAATTTGTTTAGAATTTTAGAATGGTGGGAATATATATAATATGATATAAATTATTAATATTTTGTACGTCTTAGAACAATAAACATTTTAAGATTTTGGGATTTAACGCGTTTTAAAATTTACGTGTAATTTTAATATGAATAATCAGCAGAAAAACTAGAATGGAATAATCTCTATACATCATATCAAAATTATTCATAATCAATTAAAAAAATTTAAGAAGTTAAATGTTAAAATTATAAATTCAAATTCTCTTTGAACTTTTTGATCATTTTATACATTATTTTCATTTTTTTTAATTATTGAAGTTATTAATCGGAAGAATTTCACTAAATTTATCTACGAAGCTAAAAAATTTTGGAAAATAGAACGTGTTGAAGTAAAGAAAAATGCTGAAAAATACCGCTCAAAGCAAGCACATAATATATCACATAATATGTTATATATGTTATATATTATATCAGAACTTGCTTAGAGCCATAATAATCGTTATTCGATTCTAAGCTGCTTTCGTCATCTGCATCTTTTGGCAACAGTCTCTATATGTAAAAAAACCTTGGCCGTCCTTGGACCAGCGAACAGCCCTTGAATCCAATTTCGCGCCTGCCAGCAGTGCCAGCACGTTGCGGCAACCAGAAGGTCAGCCACGTGATGCCGGTTGCCTACCTTCACTTTGGCGCTCTTCAACTGCAGATCATTATTTTTATTTTTGTCAAAGGGCCACGCCCCTTCACTGCGGAAAAAAATGGCCGCACGTTTGGTGCAAACTTTGACAAAAGCTAGGCTTCTGACGGCCGCACCGCGGCCGCTGGCCTCCGGACAGGCGGCCAGGAAAGCGGTGACCAAGCCTACGGGCGCGTACCTCGAAGAGCCGGAGCGGCAGCCGTACGGCTTGTTCGGAGTGGCCGTGACCGTGTGCTTGGGGCTCTTCATTGGGGCTGCCATCAGCCAGAACATTGCCAGCTTTTTGGAAGAAAACGAGCTGTTTGTCCCCTCGGACGACGACGACGACGATGACTGAAGACCCTGTTATTATGGGTAAACTTGTCACCATTGATTTTGGGGTCACATTTATTTCACAAATAATAATTTGAATAAAATCAAAAGAGACCAAACGTCAGAAATTTTAAGTTGTTTAGCCCCGCCTGTTTGATTTTTATGAATCATTTTATAATTATTTTGTAGATAAATTTACTGACGTCAGATCTACTATTAATCTAGTGTAAACATAGATAATTATTTTTTAACATCTACTTTCTTGAAAATAACGTTTAATAAAATCCACACATTCCACACCAAGAACTTTTCATCGATTTATTATCTCCCCATAATTAATTAAAGATCAATAAAATAGTTTTTGGGTTGCACGCAAACCGGCAAGGAAATTTAATTTTATCTTTTTTATTTTTTCTAGGTCGCACAAAAACGATAAATGCTACATAATGTACTCGTGTTTGAATTTGGACAACCTGCCCGGAGCTATGCTGATCAAAGATGCTGGAGTGAATTAATAAATAATGGATATATATTGCAACATAATGCCTGGGAGAAGTCATTGCACTGAATTTTGATAAGTGAGACGGCTGAGAACTTTTTGCTGTTTGATCAGCCCCTGAGTACCTTTTTTAATTCATAAACATAAAATAACATTATTACAATGTTGATGTGGGAGTTGAGCTCCACTAACCAAGTGATCTACTCTGTTGTTGAAAGCATCACCATAATTACACACTCTATATTGTATGTTGAATACTGGATTAAAAATGTAACATAATCTTGCAGTTTGAAATCAAAATTTGTCGTAGAAGTTTATTTTAAATTCATGTAAATATTAAAAATATTTCTACTGGGTTAATTTCATAGATGATGAAGTGTTCCTAAATAATATCTGAGCTTTTGTGTCACTTTAAAAGGACTTCCACCTTCTTTAATTTGTATTTTGTTGACATTATTTACTTTTTAAGGACCATTATTTATTTTGTTTGCTATTCTGTACAAAGTACGTCGAGGAATAAAAGAGTTGATTGTTGCCAAAGTTATCAAAATTAAGTGTTTTTTTCTTTCTTGTTAACAAAGAAAAGTTTTTATTGTGTAGATTAATTTCTGTGAAGTTGACCTTTATTTCCATAAAAATGATAGATGACAAGAAACTAAAGAAAATGCAGCGAAGTACTAAATGTAACGGAAACGAGTGTCACAATGATCCTAGAAGTTTGGTTCTCTACATTTATAAGAAAGCAGTTTTTTAGTCTGAAAAATATATAAGCCTCGCTTCCACATAAAATTAAGGAAATGTGAAACAAACACTATCCAAAATACAACTAGACAATAATATAATCGTTACAATTGTAGCAATTTTATACACTTTGGATTTGCACTAATGCGGATGAACAGATGACAATATCATCCCGAAAAATCTTCAAAAATAAGGCGCAAAAATGCTGTTGGCTGTCAAAGTTACCAACTGCCTAATATTGTGTTTTATGAAATGATTCCTCTATAGAACTTGCCGGTACTGTTTAGAAAAGTGTCACCTTGTACAAGTCTCTGGTTGAGAATCGAAGCACTGACGGCGAGAGTACGTTAGCTCGAAGCTTGTCGTGTCTGACGAGTCGAGTGGCGCACAGGGGCAGCACTCGCTGGAGGTTCTTCCTTCTTTCGCCCAGTCGTCTTTTTATCTTCCTTTTTCTCCTCCTCTTTGGCAGCTACACCATTTGACACACTCTTGCGGCTGCAAACAGAGGTTTTAAATAGAAAAGGTAATAGATTTATTTTAGTGAAATCCTTACGTTGTTTTAGCTACCGGTGCTGGTTTCTCAGGCACCTTCTCCGGTTCAGGTTCCTTAACAACTTTAGGTCTTCCCCTCTTCCGCTTTTCGGCAGGCTCATCCATCTCATCAGAAGCTAAAAAATATTAAAAGTCATACAATCTGACATATAAAGTTTTGATAGAGACAAACATTTTGTGTCCTTGTCGTTAGAATTTGAAGTGCTTGGGGTGGAGGGTGTACTTGTTGGTGTCGTTGAGTCTTTTCTTGGCCTGCCTCTTTTCTTCACAGGCTCAGTCACCTCGGGCTCAGTGTCAGACAAAGGAGGGGTTGGTGACTTTGTCGTGTTGACGGCCGTGAGAGGCTGCTTTCGAGCCCTGCCTCTGGTTTTGGTGACCGGTTTTACTTCTTCAGGCTCCTCCACTGTCTCAGACTTTTCCGCTTCCTTCTCCTCTCCCTCTTCTTTGTCAGATTCCTCCTCAGTTGGGGGCTGTTGTTTTCTCTTTCTACTGTAAACATATTTAATTGGTTAATTTGTGATGAGACTAAATTATGTTCTTACTTATAGCTTTTGGTTGCTCTGCGTTCGATTTCGTCTGAGCTAGGAATTTCGTCCTCGTCAATCTCCTGACTGGACTTGCCATCTTCGTCATCCTCCCTTGACGGAGATGGAGACTGGCTTTTGCGGGCCCTGCCTCGTTTGGCGTCTCCCTTCTGCTGACCATACTTTCTGTTTGCAACTGTTTTATTTTCTAAGTTAGTTTTGAGGATGTGAGAAAATATCAGTAATTTACCAGGCATGACCTTCACTGTACTACTGGTGGTGGGGGTTGAGCTGGCCGATGATGTCAAGCATGGCTTCTTAGCCACTGGCTCATCATCGGAGGCAGTTGAGGCTGCTGCCTGAGAGGAATCTTCGTCCTAATTAACAACAATTATTTAAAATTGAAGTTAAAAATAAATGTTGGAAAGAAGGAAGAGAAATAGACAAACACAAATGAATACTAAGAAACATGCAGAGGAGTGGAATAAAAGTATATAGTTGTAGAAGAAAGTCACCTCAAAACCGGGCAGCTGTATTTTAGTGTCTGAAGTTTGCATCGGCTGTAACATAAAATGTAGAAAAACATGTAAAAATACAATTATTCAAATATACAAGTCAAGTTAAAATCTGAATTTATGAAAATGTTTCTTACGCTCACCACATCAATGCTGTTGGAATCTTGACTGTCGTTGGGGTTCTTCCGTTTGCTCTTTGGGGGAGCCTGCGTTGGTGTAACGTTCTTCTTCATGTGCTGCACAGTGAATTCCAGAGGAACATAGACTTTGTGGTTGATGTAATTGGGGTCGTCACCTCTCTTGAAATACATTGGGGGAACTCGAGGCATTGTCGGGTACTTCTTCATTTCATAGTTAGTCGTCTTTGACATTACAAGGCCCATGGCAATGTCACAAACTGCCCAAAGTTTCTGTTGAAATAATGAAAAAGTCAGACGAGTTTAAAAAAAATTTTCAAATCAAAATATTTACGTGATTGGTCAGGTCATCTGTTGGGTTAACCGCGTCAAAGTGGTTTTTCATTCTCTCTATCAGACTCTTGTAAAAGCCAAAGCAGTAGTTGTCGTTGCGCATCATCAGCGGCTCCAGGATGAACCAGAGGCACTTTTGCACTCGCTGCAGTTGGATCTTGTTGTCGGGAGCTCGGAACTCCGGATCGTGAGCCAAAACAGGCACCGCAAACACCAGCATGAAGTCTGGCATCAAATGGGGCAGTTGGTTCAAGGCTCTCTCGACAGCTAATGGAAAGGATAATGTCAACAAGTTTAGCTAAATGATATATTAACTCACATCCAGAAAGAGTGACTGCCTTGATATAGTCCCTTCTCCTCTGTATGTCCGACACCATATACTCCTGGATTGCCTTCCTTAGCTTTATATCTGGCTCAGCACCAGCAAGGGCATAGTAGCCCATGAAGTCTAAAGGAAGGCACTTGAGGGGAATGCGTCGTGACAGTCCTTGATGCAGCTTTGTGGCAAACCGCTCCCGCACTTGGGGAACTTCATCCTAAAATTTGATTTATATATCAAGAGGTTTTCAATTGAGGTTAAAAAACATGCCTGCATCAACTGTGAAAGATTAAAAAACTGAGTTGCGTTGAACTGATCTCCGACACCTTTCTGCTCGCAAATTTTCAACATTGCACATCCTGCACCAAGTCTCAGCCAAGATTTTTCAGCAACACTGTAATTCAAATTTAGTGTTTAATGAAATAAAATTATAAGTAGTGTTACCTCAATCTATTTTCCTCTAGCAAGTCACCCTTATTGACTATGAAAGCGTCAATCATCCTGAATGTTTTAAAAGCGCTGACTGTATCGTCCTTGAGGCCAAGCAGCCACAAAGCCATAGTCTTTAATCCTTTCAGCTAAATTGAAATAAAACAATAAGCACAGGAAGATTGAAAGCTCAATAAATAAATACTTTGCAAATTGTGTCATGGGGAAGATCTTCCTCCTTGCACCAGTTGTCTGGGCAATCATGGTAACGTCCATCAGATCTGTCTTTCATCAGCAACTCCTTGACAATTTTCCTGGAGATTGTGTTCTTGACAATGACAGGGAATGTCTGAGGAGCATTGTATGCAAGGTGTCCAAGAGCAACAATTGCTGTCAGGTAGTGAGGATTACTTGGATCGAGGTTATCTCGTATTTGCTGGAAGAAATATTGCTAGATTACCTTGCTAGTTAAGTTAAAAATTGTTTACCTCCATGATTTTTGAGAATACTCCTTCCATATTTTCAATTGTGTTGTGGAAGAGGCATCTGATGGCATGCTTGGCATCTTTAGGTCCTCCAGTTCCACACAGCTGCTGACATTTAGGCACCAGGGTGCGCATCAAATCTGGGAACGCCTCTCCAATAGGCTTAAATTTTCCAATCAGAGTGAGGATGGTCAACACTAAAGGCGCAACGTCGTCCAAGTCCAGGAGGGAAATCAGGTGGGCGATGACATCCTCATGCAGGAAGTGTGACGGGAAAACAAACGCAAGAACTTTCAGGAGGTTCAGGCCCCTTTCTCCGGCATTTTGGGGATTCAAATGCAGCTCTTCCATTAGATTTTCATGCTTGATGCATTGCTCAACATAACCAACAAGCACCTAGAATAATGAACAAATAAATATTTATTCGAAATAATTAATTGAAATATAATTAATACCTTGATGGCATCATGATCAACCATAACAGAGGAAGTTCTTTCCAACAACATTTTTACAGTGTTATAATACAAGTTTGTCATTACTGGCTGGCCAAGTCTCTTGAGAATTTGAGACTGCAAGAAATTTGTTAATTACATTATCTTCTACACTTCAACCGACTTTTCGTACCATGACGTCAGAGCACGTCTTGCAGCTGACTGATGGGTTCATAACAGTTTCCATCATTTGCAGCAGAGAAGAGTCCTTTGACATGTGTGCTGAGAATTTCCTCAGAAATTCGTGAGCCTTGACAGGCTCAGGCAGATGTTTAGAGAGCTGAACTATTTTGGCATTGAGTTCCTTGTCACGCTCATCGTCTGCGTTTTTATTTTGAAGATCAAGGACCTCAGACACAAGTTTCCGAATGCTAAAAAAGACATTTAAAATTCAAACAGTTAATTCCAACAAAGATGTATAGCTCACGAAAGCTGCAGTTTTTGTAGTTCAATGAATGCTTTGGTGGCATTTTCATCTACTGTTCCAAGTAGATAGTAAAGTTTCTTCATTCGCTCATCAGTTGGCAATGTGAACGGAACCAAGCAAGTGTTCAGCAGTTTTTCAACCATTAGCCTATATTTAGAAATTTACAGTTACGGTATGTTTTGAACTACAAGAAGGGCTCAGACTCACTTGTCATCAAGACCAGGCATGTAGTAGCAATGCAGAATTTTGTCCTTGATCCAAGTGACCGCCTTTTTGGTTGCCTCAGGTACATCTTGCTCCATCAGATGGGCTTTATAGATCATTGCAAGACCACTCATGGCTTCTCGACGAATTTTGAACTGAGGGAGAAGTATATTTATATTTTAGAGAAATTTCCTAATATATTTTATATTTAGAAAGCATACCTTCTTGTCAAGGGTGCGTTCACGAACAAAATCAAGCAGGTCCTCACTATCAGAAACAACACTGAAGTCTCTCTTGGCAGTGGCGACAATAGCCATGACAACCTCATATCGAACATGCTCTTCCGCATCATGCTGTCGCAGCTTCAGGGTTTGAGTTATGTCTTGACGGAGTTCAGGGTGGTTCAGGAGGAAATGCATTGAATATTGAACACACTTAGTGCGTATTGCCACACTTATGTCGTTGTACCTTTAATTGAGAATTCTAATTAATATCCATGCCTATGAAAATAAAAGCTCGTAATTCACCTTCCTAAGAAAGCCTGCCACAGAGGTCTGTGGTGTATAGCAAGGGTGGAATCCTTTTCAGAGAACATCCGAGCTAATAGGGAAACAGCTCCAAGGCGCTCCTTCTCATCAGGAGACTTGAGCTTGAACTCGAGCTGTGGCAAAACAGCCAGCAGCACTGTTGGACAAATATGGTTCAGCTCGTAGATCAAATCATAGACTTTGCCAGAAATTGATAGTTCCTTGTTCGGCTGTCCCAAGATCAGCACTTGGTTGAAGAACTAGATATTAAAAATTTAGAAATGGTTCTTCATAAACAAAGAGAGCATTACTGTTTGAATATAAGACTCAAGGGTGTCGGAGCATTTCACAATTAGTTCTTTGGCCAGCAGATATGCATTCTTTTTGGTGGACTTGCTTGGTTCAACAATGTTTATCAAAATGGTGTCCAATAAATTATTAGAGACGCTGTCAGACTCTGTGATCAGAGGACACAAGACGTCAAGCATAAAACTCTTCACTTTTCCAGAATGTTCGTCACTGCAAAATGAAGGAAAGTTTAGTTATATAAACTTTTAATTTCAGCATAGATTAATTTTTCAAGTTTGCACTACATTATTTTTAAATAATTGCACTAAATTTCCAATTCTAATATAAAAATTAATCATTAAAATAATCTTCACTTACTTTACAATACGAAACATCAGCTGGAAGAGATTGCAGAAGATTTCCTGACAATCGTCAAGTTCAAAGCACATGTTGAATGACTTCACGTAGGCTAAGTTCTCAAGCAGGTAGAAATACCTTTTGAACGCCGGATCTTTAGGATCCTTTAATCCTGACAACTGCTTGATGAGGAACATGAAAATTTCCTGAAAAAGACCACGGTTAAAAAACAACCGCAAGTTTAAAAAATCTCTTTTCAAACCTTGACTTGCTCAGGGTCTTTGTAGGGCGCTTCTGGAGCATAGACTCGCAGAACGTCTGCAATGCAACAGGCAATCAGCAGTTGCACATCCTTGCTGGGATGCAGCAAGAAGTATTCCGAAGCCAAATGAAGGGCCAGCGGAACAAATTCATGATAGGCGCCTTCGTCTTGTCCCATCGACTGGAAAGTGTGAGCCAACGTCTAAAGGAAAATATTTTTAGTTTCTGTTGCTGTTTTATGTGAATTCTCATACCTTGAGACGTCGAATAAGTTCGTCGGGGGAAAGGTCCTCTTTGACCTCTCGGCAACCGCTTGGGTAGACCAAAGCGGTCGAACCTTCACCTACTCCACGAGGCATTTTTCAGCAGTGTCGACTCACTCTCTCATAACACACCTGGAAAGAAGCAAATTTTGATTAGATTCATAAAATTATGAATAATTAAAAAAAAATCAAAGTATTTTAAATTGTTTTGAACAGAGTCAAAAGGTTCTGAAAATGGAACAATAGGGGCGGAAAATGCAATTCCCGCTGAATTTTGTTCAGAATTGGCGACGTCATACATGATACGGCCCTATAAGCAGCGGGTTGTTTACAAAACAGAGCAAAATCGATGAGAAAATGCGCAAAAGATCGGCCAAAATGCTCGCTATGAATCTAAAAAGCACACAAATGTGATTGAAATTCGCAAGGGCATGATTATTTGAGTGATCAAAGTCATCGTGCGGGTTCTGCCGATTGAGAAAATTCAAAATTCGGTTTGTTTTGACACGGCCATAGAAGCGAAGTGAGCATCGATATCCCCGTTGAGGAACCCAAGCCAAACTTTGGCATCAGTTTATGGCGACGGTCGCCGCTCTGCCGGTCCGAAGTAGGCGATTTTATTTGCCAAAATTTCACCAGTGTCGAATGATGCCGAAATTGAAGCCGAATCGGCAAAATTAATCTGAACGCCACAAGTTGACGAACCGATCATGAACTTCTTGAGCAAAAGATGGCACCATTCGCCATTTTAGCGGCCCCTACTTTCGGACGCAAAAATTTCGGCCAGGTCGACACCGGCCTCGGTGCGAATGCGTTCGGCCAGAAGAGAAGGTCGAAAAGTACAAATTGAGTGCGAGAATTCCGGGAAAAACTCACCAATACAGTGGAAAATTGGACGAAAACTTTTCGGTCGACGAACGCTTCGTTTCTTGAATTACGCCAGATGGCACTGCGGAAGGGCAACATCGAAAACCCGGGATATTCCCGTTAGTGTTGCCAACTGCGGAGAAATTGTCGTGACTCCGGAACGGGATAATCGGGAGAGGGTCGTTGGAGCAGAAAAGATTTAGGCGTGTACTCTGTACTCATCCATGCAGAGTAGATTGTTATAGCGTTATTATATAGCATTGTAATTGAACACAGAAGATAATAATTTATTCTTTATTCAAATAAGTGTTTGTCTTTAGTATTTAAATTTTTCTGAATTTTTTGATATTTTGAAGTTTAGTGCATTGAGATTGAGTTGAATTTTAACATTCGGATCTGTGTATGTATTACACTATTTTAATTGATTTTAATAATAGCAAATTGCTTGAAACAAAATTTACAAAATACAATTTTACATTTTTTATTTAATTTTTTGTTAATGCGCCACAAGAGAAAGGAAAAAAACGGAATAAATGATTTTTTATACCAAATTTAAAGATATGTAGGTTGAATTTAGATTTTGTTTGATGTTATCAACATTAATTGCCTCCTTGCTGTTATTTGTAATTTAAAACAAATTAAAGTTTGTTATGCGTATTATTATAAATTTTTTCCCCTGCAGCCATGAGCACAGCGCTGTATACAACTTGCAGAACATGCATGCAAAGCTAATTGCATAATATTTTTCATGCTGCTTTTGATCACGACATCACGTTTTTATCAAATTTTACTAGCCTAATCAATTATTGAAATCAGTAATTTTTAATTATTTTTCGATACATTGCTTGTCGGCTCAACCTCGGTTTTTCAATTTTGTCAAATTTTTCAATTAATTAGGTCTAGTGTTTTTAAATTTGATTGTTAAGTAATATTGATTAATATTTACGTGAATATTTTTATGTTTGAATACAAATTAGCACCATGCGCAACTCGAATTCACACTTCGATTTCTCTTAATCTACAGGACATGAGGACAGGTCACTTGCAATACAAGTTTCTTTTATTAAGAACATAAAACCAAGAGCCGAATTTCTCCTGTCGATCAATCTTGACAGACACAGGAAAGATGAGACCGAAGAGATTATAAAAAGCCGCAGTAGGTTGTTTCGCAGTTCAGTAATTGCAAATTGTTGCTGAGATGGCTATCAGTGACGATGTTCTATTGCGATGGGATTCAATTCATTAATTATGCCGTCAGAGAGACTTGTTTGAGCTCGATCATTCAATTTTATTAGCGTTATACATTAAAAAATGGAGATATAAATATAAAATAATAATTTAAAATTTAATCTTTAGAAGAAAAATGACAATCATTTTTTTTTTTAGATTCAAAGGTAAATTTAATTTATTTATCTATTTCTAACGCAATTACAACGCAAAATAATATTCATTTTTCACATTTTGAAAGTGGATAATTGAGGAAAAATAAGTATGGACAAAGAAATATATAAGGAGAGAATCAAACGCTTAACATCAGAGATTATTTGGGACTGGTCTAAAAAAACAAGAGGCCTAAATCCATAACTAGAGACGTGGTCCTCGAACCTTCGATTGGGTACGCAAAGGAGATGCAGAACCCGGAAAGGCACACGTGATCCCACCTACCGCGTACTTTCCTCGCGTGACCCGTCGGCCCCACATATTGGTCACTGCAGTGTTGCATTAATGCCGAATTTTCTCGACGCGCCTCAACGATGAGCGCGACGTACCAAAAGTAGGAGAAAGAAGAACTTGTGTAGAAAGTGGTAATAATTTTCTCCAACAAGCTGCACCTTGGCGGCTTTTCCCTCTGAAACAACCTTTTCGGCGGCGTTAAAAGTTGGACCACTTGTCTTTTCACATATATCCGTATCACCGATTCGGTTCCTTCGCAGACAGCACGTGCGTGTGTAAAGAGAAGATCATGGCGAGCGAACCTTTTTTATGGAGTGAAAAAAACTGGCCGTCTCTTCTTTACATATTTAAAATAAAATTAACTATATTATTTTTATTATTAAAATCAATTAAAAACATTTTGATTTTTCTTCTATATTATAATTTTTAAGTGTTTTATTTTAATGTTGTTAATTTTCAGTCTACTATTTTACTTTAAAACAAAAATAATTTAATTTTGTTGTTGGAAAAAGCTGATTGATAAAATTAATATATTTTAATGGAAAATAATTTTACAATTTATGTGACACACAAAACAATTGTTTTCATATACAATGCTAAAAGCAAAATTATTACAAATTGCGCAGTTTGTAATGTCATACTTTATTTCATGAATTTGCCTATGTTGCAAAGAAAAACACACTCAATAATTGATTAAACACACTTTACCTTCAGAAGTACAAATCTGGTGCTCTTTAGAGTCTTTAGCGCACTGCTTGATGTGCTATATAGGATCCTTAAGCATCAAGCATCAGTTTAGCTACAATGGGGTTGTCTCTGCAATATAAAGATTTATTTGTGCGTATTTCCTACGTATTACCGCAACATCAAATATTGGAGAAAGCACGCAACTCAATCAATTTAAGAAGTGCAAACTTTGTGTATAAAAAAACCATTACCCTTTACGCTGAAGTATAACGACGTGAAGTAAAAAATGTTCCCGAAAGTTCATTAAGTTAATTCATTTAGAAATGCTCTTACCATGAAAATGGGCGCAAATTATTACATAATAAAAGTTTCTGAATTTAGAGGTAAAAAAATTATGCTCAAGGAAGTGAGTGCTGGTCAGCTTAGAAACGATTTCAGAGAAGCAGGAAAAAACAGAGGTGCAAGCAAATATTACAATTCTTCAAAAGTAATTCGACTCTCTACAAATATAATTGAACCACTTTCCATTTTAATGACTGCGGTTTGTTGATTACGATTACACTTTTAGCAAAGGACTGCTATGATCGCTGGCATCTGAGATTCTCTTCACAGATTATTTTCTGAAAGATATCATGCGCTTAAATCATTTAGCATACCAACCAAAACTAACACCATTGTTTTCATTTTTCATAATATGAGATCACTGGCGCGTAATATGATAATTAATTTTTCTAAATTAGTATTGATAAATGACAAATGGAGTAAAACCAAGTTTTTAAAGCGACCCTCTGAATTAAATTCATGAGCAATATAATTCCAATCAATTTCTTTAGCAAGGTGCGTTAGCAATAAGTATGTACTCCAAGTTTTATCACTTTTCAACTAAATGAAAAAATGAAAAACCTTTGTGGTATGGCATCTGATGGAAAAATTAAAATAGCAAAGAAAGTTTCTATAAAATAATTGCTTTAAATTTTTTTTATTCATCTTCACATTTCTCTTCCAAATTATTAAGCAGTGAGTGGCCCACAGCTTTGCAAAGGGCCTGTTTGCTGCATTCAATTAACCGTTAAGACTCAAACACGGTCAGAATCAGAGAGGAAGAGAAAGTAAAATATAGTATTTTGCCGGCCGTCCCATCATCTCGTTTGGACCAGCCGCGCGCCACCACTAACAATCGGAGGCACCGCCGAAAGACCAATATTTTTTTTTCGTTTTCCCCCACGAAACCCTGTAGGCACCGCTTGGATTTCAGGAAGACCCACATTTTCTCTCAGTTTTCAAGACACCTCTACCTGCGATTCATCTCCACGATTGTAGCACAGGTAGGATAACTCTTTCTTAATTACTTTGGTGGATTGATTTTTTTACTGCATCCGCAGCATTGCAAAGCTGTAGAAGAGTTAACCAGTTCAATCCCATATTTTTATCAATTTGTAGACATTATTTTATTAATTTGCTTTTGATACAGTAATGAACTTTTAAATTAACTAATTAACAGAGAGAAAGTTCAAATTAAATCATTTGAAAATTTTGTTCTTTACTTTATTATCTTATTTTAAGCCCTCTTTAAAATACTGTTTTGGGACTTATAATTTTTTTTTTAAACAATAAATTTAATGCCTATTATCCTTAAGATGTTCCCTACCTGTCTATTTCTGAGGCAAACAAATACCCAAGAGGTCACACCAATCATTAGACACTCATTTATCAAATTGACTCTGCGTAATTGATTTCTTTTTTCTATTGCAACCTTTGACAGCTATATTATTGTTTGCTATGTAATAAAGATTATGCCAGATTATATAACACATTTGCTTTGTTATATACAAAAGATTAAGAAAAAGCAAATAAGCATGAAGTGGCACTTCTGTTGCGGTTAGAAAAAATATTATTGTCTAGGATGAGCTTCTAATATCAAGGGGAAAGCGCGCAAGCCTTTTAAGTTAGAGGACCACCTAAGACAGTATTTGCGTTTGTAATGATGACCATTATGTATATCACATGGTATCTATTAAGAGTTAAATATTTGTCAAAGTAAATTTTTAAATATTTAAAACATATATGCATAAGCATCCTATAAATTAAAATGTTATTATATAACTCACATAACTAAACTGATGCTAATTTTGCCAAACGAAAAATTGCTTGGACAATAATTTATCTGTTTCTATTTGAATTTTTTTAGAATTCGCGGCATGAAAAAAAGATGGAATGTACAAATTTATTTTTTATTAAAATTCATTATAAAGGAGCTCTTGTCACCATCAAACTGATTAAAAACTCTGTAAAGAGAGTCACAAATAACAAGTTTCTTTAGCACAGCTTAGATTACAAATTATTGAGTGAAGGAAGTGAAAAGTTTTGAAATTTTGGAAGTAAGGAGAGTTTTAGGGCCTATAATTGACTTAATTGTCATGTTAAAACTCACACTGCTCTAAATTGTACTTTTTGAGGTTTAGCGGTCAATGATCATGAAATGAGAAATCTGATTGTAAGTGCACCAATATTTGGCTACTTTGCTTTAATTGCATCTCGTGAGAAGCAATTTTTTACAATTTGTGTTCATTGAAACTCAGATGGCGGAACTGAAATTCAACAAGCTTGACGGGCCACTGGGTCAAAAGGTGGACGACCTGTTTGGCGACGACTTGCCCCTTTTAGAAGTTGAGCCTGGCAACATCCTGGTGCCCCCCAAATTCCAGAATTTCGCTGACCGTCTGCTGAACATGAAAGTTCGCCCTGATGACGTTTGGCTTGTCGCTTACCCTAGGACAGGTATATTATTTTTTTCTTTAAAATTATTGCTGCTCAAACTAAAAATCATGTGTAAAATAGTGTTATTTTTTTTATCAACCTTTGAGACAAATTTTGAGCCTCTCATAAAATTAAGCTAATTGATTTTTAATAATAGGATGTGTATGAGAAAACAGAAAGTTCCTTATTTTTCCCTCAGGCTAATGTGCAAGTGAGCGCAAGTTTTTTTTATTGTTTTTTATTCTAGGAACTAACTCGCAATGAATTTTTTTTCGATCATTGATTATATCTTGAGGGTGAGGTTCGCCAGGAGATAGATAATGAATCAAAAGCGACGAAGTATTCTCGGTTGTGCCCGTTGTGCCCAGATCAACATTTCACTAACTAGGATTTTTCCCATTTTAAATTTACAGGCTGGTCTTCAGATAGAAAGTTAGCAGCTCGTTTGCGCTACTTTGAAGACGCGGATATATAATTTTTCTCAACTCTATCCAAAACGCGTGTATAAAGAAAGAGAGAGTGATAGAATATTAGGAGGATTCCATCACTAGACTAGTCCAGTAGACTATTTGATATGCCTGCTCCAGGGCATGTAAAGATTTCGCCTGAAAAAGTTATCTGAAAGAAAACGTTGGCACTCATCAGCTATTTATATTATGCGCTTGATTTTTATTGATTATCTTAATTTATTTTAATTTTATAAATCAAAGCTATATTATGAAATTGTCACATTTTTTGTCATTTGAAATACATCATCAAGAATGAATTGATAATAAGCCTTTTTTTAATACTTTTGCCAAATTTTTAATGTTTGATATTAAATTTTTAGGTAGTTCGTGGATGCAAGAGATGGTCTGGTGCATCGGAAATAACCTGAACTTCCAAAGAGCCGCAAAGTTTCTTTGTCTGCGCGCACCGGTTTTTGAGTAAGTTTCCATTATATGTTAAAATGTATTGGGAGTGACCGCATGCCGCAGAATAGATTGAATATATTTTTATTTTTTAAATTTAATTCAAATTAAATTGCACAACATTAAAGAATATTTGGAATATTTTGCGTATGCAGTAAAAACGACTTGTGAAAATGGAAAGTCGGAAATACAAAAAAATAAGCTCCTGTCAAAGCGGCTCAACGGGCATACGTGCCGTTTTGCAGCTCTGCAGGCCCAGCGGCCAAAACTTGTTGTGTGCATGAATATGTCGTCCCACTTTCCTGCATTAATAAATTTCACACAAGGCACTTGACCTTTGACGTTTGCGACTGCAGCCAAGTTCAAAATATCCTATCACTTTTCAGTTTTTAATTGTGATTTTTTTTAATGCAGCAAATTTTCAAATAAATTGTATTAATTTTGAAAATAAAAATAATATGAGGTTTTAATCAATCTTCTTTACATTAAAGACTCTCTGCCATGCTGAGGCGCGACTCCTCTGGGGTCACTGGCTTGATCGGCGAAACAATTGATCTGGTGGAGCGGATGCCGTCGCCGCGTTTTATCAAATCGTACTTGCCGAAGGAACTGCTGCCGCGACAACTGGAAACTGTCAAGCCTAAAGTGAGATATATGCTAATGCGTCTAATATTTTCACACCAATTAATTAATATAAATGTAGATTATCTACATGTGCCGAAACCCGAAAGAAGTGGCCCCTTCTTACTACGACTTCTGCCGACTATTTTACGACCTTGAGGGACCTTTCGAGGACTTTTGCGAACTCTTCCTGCAAAACAAAGGTTTTAAATAAAAAAAGAAAAACTTTTGAAATTTATTTTCATGCTGTTTTTAATTCTAGTACCAATGGGACCATTCTGGAATCACGTTCTTGGCTTCTGGAAAATCAGGAACGAGCCCAACGTACTTTTCCTGCGCCAAGAGAAAGTCGCAAAGGTTCTTTTCCTTTTTTTTTTTTAAATTTAAAAATTCTTAAAATTCTGTCAAATAATAATATTGCAAGCAACCTGCATAAAAAGGTTATGTGATAAAAGGTTACATAGTTGATAAAATTTTAACATAAATTTTACCTCATTTTTAGGATCACGAATCTACTGTGGACATGGTTTCTAAATTTTTGGGCAAGGACCTGACAACCGAGGGGCGAGAAGCCCTCTTGGACCACATGAGTGACGAGAAAATCAAAGCCAACCCCTCGATCAGCGTGCGGCCGATGCTCGAGTTTCGCAAAAACATGCTGCCCCGCTCTCGCGCCAGCTCCAGCACCTCATCGAGTGGTTCGGAATCGGGTTTGAACCCCAAGCCGGGCATGTTTGAGGCCAGATTGACGGAAGACATGGCCAAGAGGTTCGACGAGTGGGCAAAGAAGAATTTGGAGGGCACTGGACTTTCATTCGATTGAATGTGAAATGAGGTGCGCGCTTTGTTTCTGCGGACAATCTTGGGAGGTGGATGTTTTTCAGATATAAAGGGATACATGGGAAAGGCTTATAAAATAAAATTTATTTAATTGTTTAGATCATCCTAAGCCCAAAACTAATTTCAAATGTGAACGGATAATTTATTTGTTTGATTCAAGTTATTAGCTAATTAAATGAGGGAAGCTTAGAAGTTTTTCGCGTAAAGTATGGGGCTTATAGTTAGTTATTCGTAATAAAATCCTATGCGTGTGCTAATCTTAAAGATTTATCTTATGTTTATTTGTGCTATATTTGAGCTAATTTTTACAAAATTGTTCTGATTTATTTTAAAACTTGTTTTTTTTCTCTTTCTTCATATAAAATAAAGGCCTTTTTTTAGCAATCATTTTCTGTACAAATTTACAAACCGCCCTTGTCGTGCAAATCAATACTCCACTGACTGACTGAGAGCACATGCACGCACGTCGAATTATATTGGGTATTAATAGCTGCGGCTGGCTGAGCGAAATAGAAACCCTGCTAGTTTAGCGGCGCGCACATCACACCGCAATCGCGCATAAACATTCGAATTATTATCGCATAACAAGAGAGAAGGAAATTGAATTTATTGTCTTGGGAGTCGTTCAAGTGTGTTGAACCCATTGTGGAATCCATAAGGCGAAAGGTTTATTTGTGCCGAGAGACCAATAATATGGGTTCGTATGAGCATTGCGGAGAAAAATTCAATGTGCACTGAATTGGCTTCGTCTAATAATAAGACTCGCTGGTTTATATCAGAGAATATTACTCCAAATAAGGCAGATTAATATGGATGGTTTCAATAGGATTGGATGCAATGTTAGACGCATACACAACACAAGAAAAATTGATTTTATCTACAAATCTCTTGCTCTCTTTTCTCAGGGAAATTTTTTTTAGCAGAGTTTGAAAATGTTTGATATTTTCCAACTTCAACTAATACACGTTAACCATTATCCGTTTATAAAAAAAAAAAAATAATTAAGCACTAGACTAGAAGTTGGCAAAAATGGCAAAGTATAATGGAGAGATATTCACGGCGGAGAACTTGTATGGGAAAAGCAGCGGTGCACGTGCACACATTAGGCCTGTGATTCACGCGCGCCGCTAGGAATTCGCAATGAGCGGGCGAAATCTAATAAAGGGTTGTATGGTTGAGAGACTGATCGACAAGACAGCAGACATTCGAACATGGTGCGTTGAGAACACTCTCCATTCATATTCACTTGAAAGCATGGAGAATATTGCAGTATAAGGAATTTCTCATTGTATATAACGACTGGATTTAAAAAGTTGCATAAAATATTGGAAAAAATTGTAGGAAACACAAATTTTTGCAGAATTTAGCTTTCCTCCTGCTAAATTTTGAAGCACGTTTATTGATATAATTGATATGGCAATTATTAGGTGGGGATTGATTAAATTGGAAAAATAAGATTATTCCCGCGGTAAAGCTTTTTATTAATAAGAAATAAGCATTAAAACATGCAGAATGAGAGAAAAAATACTAATATAAAAGAATGAATAGAATGATTGCTCTCTTCTATCATCAATTATTATATCATTTTATCATTCCTTGATAATTTATTCAGGGAGAAAAAGCTCGCCTTATTGCAAAAAATTTAGAATTTTTTGCATAATCTTCATTTATTATTATTTTTTTTATGAAACTATTTGCCATAATTTAAGTTTATTCAATAAACAACGTCAGCGTGCATAAATTTTTATTTTTAATCATACATTAATCTTCAAATGCCAGTGCATTAGATTATATACCAATATAAAATAGTATTCAGAAAAATTATTAACTATTTATTAATTTAACCTACAAGTTTTATAAAACACAATATATTAGACATAAAAATAGTTATATTTATAAAAATAAATATAAAAATGTAAATTGCATTATAATATAATTAAAGTTATTGTTAAAATAAAGTTGTAAGTAAAAATAAAATTATAATTAGTGGTTAAATTTGTATTAATATATAACATAATTATATTTTTCTGTTCACCTGTATTATCCACGTTTAACTCGAATTTCTACAGAAAAATACATATGAAAATAATTTTGGTGCCAAAACGTCGAGCAAGGTTGGCAATGCTTGAGGCCGTGTCGGTGGGCGGAGTGTTGGGCTGTTGGACTGATCGAGTGCGGCCTGTAGGAGATGGGAGTTGGTGGGACTCGCGTCGACGGCTGACACACCACTGACTTCTTCCTCCTCCGACACCGTAACACAGCTTCAGCTTTTCCACGCAAATTTCGTCTGTGGAAAAGGACACACAGGGCTGAGAGCTCGGGGCAAAAATGGCCGAGGAGGAGAACAACACCAACACCAACAATGAAGATCAATCCATGTCGGACAACAATAAAATCAAGCTGAGAGGCAGAAAGGGCGCCCTCAAGAAGAAGAACATCTTTGTGGTCAAAGACCACAAGTTCATCCCCAGGTTCTTCAAGCAGCCCACGTTCTGCAGCCACTGCAAGGACTTCATCTGGTGAGTGTGGCCTTTTGTTCGAAAAAAAAAAATAACCGAGCTCGCCGTTATGAGAAAGAGAAATCTGCGGCGAGGAATTCGGGTTTTGAAGGTTGTTCACCTTGGCGCGGAGATTAATTTCTGGACCAAATGGTGTTTGGGACCGTATGGTGCTCAATTAATAGGCACCTCGCCTAACGAGCGCAATAAAAGTTGAGCCTAATCACCTCAAAATCTGGAGTCTTTGAGAAGGCAAAGGGATTAAATCCTAGAAAATTTATTTAAAAAATTGAGAACAATTTTCATATATTCACCAAATATTATTAAACTAGTTGAATCTTATCGAAATAAATGGTATTTTTTTTTAAACTGCATCTATGTAACCAGAGTGAATTGGTTAGTAAATAAAACGCTCTGCAGTTCGCTAGATAAAAAAAACTGGCTGGCTGGAACGGCGTGAGTAATTTTTATACTGACTGAGTTTGTTTTGTGATAAGATTTGATCGTGGTTTTGGTCGCGATTAATTCCACTATTGTTAACGTTAAGGAATTTCCTTTCCTTAAAATTAATTCATAGGGTCCTACGTCCTACGCTGTTTTTAGAAAAGCCCTAGTGGAGAACAAAGCATCCAGGGTTCACCATAATATAAAATGCGTGACCTTGAGTGGATAATCTGCGTTTTTTTTTCGAGCAGTGTAGCGATTGAATGGGTCCCTGGTAAAGCAGTGGGAAGCCAGCCTTTGGCGGCAAAATAAACATAGAAACACACACATTATTTCCCACCGCCTTTTGTGTAAACAAAAAGGGTCAGCCTTGACCCGGAGCCGCTTCAAAAATGCAGGCAAGGCTCCTCTTTTTTGTGCCGGACAGCTCGAGTGGGCCACATAATCGAGTGCCGTGGCACGAGCGGAAAAAAACACAAAAAAATGTTAGTTTTGTTTTTGTTCCGCAACGATATTTTTTTATTACAAATTTTATTCAGTTCTTTGAAATGGTAAAATTCTTATTTAAAAATTAAGTTTTTATTAATTTATATGTCAAATTCTACTCAGAAACTAAAGGTTATTTATACCAAAGGAAAGTTGTATGTTTTTGGTGCACTTGAAGAATTATTAATTTTAAAATGCAATCAATTATTATTATAATTTCAAAATAAAAAATATAAATGCAATTTGAATATTATTTTAATTTAAAAATAGCAAATTATATAAAAAAGAGTAAAAATGATTTATAATTTATATTAAAAAAATTAATACATATTGCAAATATTTTTAATTCACAAAGCAAAAATATTCAGATGTATTAAGTTTTTTTATATATATTTTATTTATTCTTAATAAAAAAATATTAACGTTATATATAGGAAAAGAAAAAAGTGCAGCAAATGAAAAGCTTGTAATTTCTAACATTTTTTACATTACTTCTGTTAATGATTTTAAAATTAACGGATTTGCATCTATAGAATCTAATAAAAATTAAGATAATCAACGATCAAAGTAAAACAAAAAACAAAATTTCAGAACGAAATTGGTCCTGTGCGCGCTTTGCTTCGCTTTGAGCCCTCAAAGACTAATCCTTAAATACGCATGTCGGTGCAATATATTTGGGACTGCACGAAACGGAGAAGAAGCCTTACTTTTATTACGGGTTTATCTTCCAGACCAGCAGCAACTGGCCCATATTATTGCCCATTAACGTGTTCGCAGCTCGGCGGGTGGCATTCTTAAATTATCTTCAAAATGCAAACACTTTCAACTTTTCCTCGGTCGCCCGAGTGACGAGCACCCTAGGCTAATAAAATATTAGCTATATATCTAATGTGATTTATGGTGCAATTAAAATGCGAAGAGAACCGTTAAACTCTTTTAATTATACATTTGTTAGAAATATTTTAATGACTTCAAATTGGTTTTAGTTTAAGTATTTTGCTCTTGCAAAGAATGAAATAAATTTTCCAACCTAAATAATAAATCCGTTATGTTTGAAAATTCAAACTTCAAAAAGCACATTTTTTTTTTTATCAAATTCTGTTTTTTTTTTAACCTATTCCAAAATGAGTAAAACTTTGATATTTAAATTCTCACTGAACACAAATAATATCAAAAATTATTTGAGACAGAGTCATTTTTAAAATCTTAACGCATAAAACCTTATTATAAGAATGTTTTAATTGATACTTTGTTATTTGTAATTTTAAATTTATCTATAGGAAGAATTGAAATTATTGAAAACCTTCCTCTTTTATGTGAATTGCAAATTTTGGTCTCTGCAAATATTCTACATATATTGCCTCTCAACCCTGTTTGTTTGCGCCACTTCAAAAAGCAATCAAAGCCGACCGATTTGAAATTTAAATCCGTCCCTGCAACGAAAATAGTCAACACGTTCGTCGCCTCTCTATCGGACGTCAGAGAGTGTGATTGTGAATCGCGTGCGATGCTAATTACACACTCAAATCGGCGTCACCGAGGGCAAACTGCTTTATAAACGCGACGGTGCATCAGGTTGCGTCATTTGGCGGCAAAATGCGTCACCTGTGAGCAAATTTGACTGGATTTTCCGAGTGGCGCTGGAAAAGAGGTCACTCTCGGCTCTTTTCATACTTCCAGTGCTGCATCTTGGGAGCAGTCGCGACTCGCTGCTCGTTCCTCCCTCGCGAGCGATTAAACCCGCACTAGTGCAGCCCTTGTTGCACTTCACAGCTCGATATTTTTGCTCTCTCTCTCTACATGATATTTTTTCCTCACTCGGAAAGTTTGACGAGACGGAAAATGAGCCGGGGAAATATCATCGCCGTCGATTTGTCGCGAGAAATGAGGCTGCGGAATTGCAAAAGTGGTCTCTTTCCGCATAATTGCGCATGAACTGCAGTAATTTGATGAGATAAATATGTTAAAAAATTGTACACATGCAGTCCCAGCCGTGTTTTGATAACAATCCCCGCCTCGAGCTTTTCGCATTCTTCCAACTACCCAACCTTTCACGTTGATTTTTTGCCGCAGTAATAATTTTCTTTCTAAATTGGCGATTCGGCCGCACCTGACAAGTGAGTAAAATCGCTTTTAAATCGAAGGAGCTCAAGACTCAAACCAATAATTAGCATTTAAAAACGCACCTGTGTCCTGAATAAGTGCTAACTTGAAATAATCGCTTTAGGTACAAGTCAGAATTATGCAAATCATATTTTAATACTTGAGGAGAATGTTCTTTCTTGGTATTGAAATGGAAAGTGTAAAATTAATTTTTTTTTATTATTTTAAGATACAATAACTGATAGTTGTAAACGATAAAGAAAAGCAGATAAATTAAACTATAAATTGTTGCCCATTGTCCATTGTTATCCAGCAGACCCTGAAATGAAATATGCAACTGTAGACATTGATTGATATCTTTTGGCTATGTTTAGAGAGTTTTAGAGAAGTACTTTATTATGGACAGTGAATTTAATTTATAATTGAAAATGGCGAACTTCCAAAATTATCAGAAGAGTGTCTGATTGCTTAAGTGCTTAATTATAATATCATCTCATTATCTGGCAAATAATGAATATCTTTAAATATTTTTCCGTTCTTTTCCTTTGCAAATTGAGATTTTTTTAAAGTTTGTTATTAACAAATATTGAATTAAAAATCTTTCATCTGAATGAAAAATAAAATTTTATTTTAAATCCTCAAAACGTTTGATTCAGCATATGCCTATAAAGTATACAAATTTTCCTAATTGAATTTAAAACATTGTGTAATTGCTGTCGGCATAATCGTACAGAGGAAATTAAAAGCAAAACATGGTTTTTATCATTTTTACTGTAGTTCCTAACACTGCAAGTTGCAAGTGTGCGTTTTTGTCATTATCGCTCACCGTCACTGGCCGTTAATTTCTATTACAAAATTGGTTTGATGCGCGTCATCCTGTTTCGTGCGAATCCAAAGTTTTACGGCTCGTAGTTTTGGGTGCAGTTTGCTCACCTCTCCTCGTCCGGACCCACGCATGCGTTCATTTTTTGTTTGGAAAGCTCGCTGCGAAAACTGATAGCATAAACTGCAGTAATAAATTTTTCGTTGTCCGGCCAAAGTTGGAAAAGGCACGTCGAACTCATAGGGAGTCTATAAATTTCTATGTCATCTTTCTGTAATTCTGCGACAGTTAGATGGTTTTTATGGCACACTCCTTTACCCAGTGACCATTACCACTCTATAAAAAGGATAAAAAAAATCAATTTCATGTTTAGAATTGGGAACATTATTTGAGTGAAGCACTTGTTTGATTTTAAGTGGACTGTTTTAATCCAATAAAAGTTTATTTTTCCGTATTTTTTTTAGTGTTATACATTTAGTAGTATTTATCGTAATGATACTGTTTCAAAATAAAATAAATTTAAAATACTAAAAAGTTACAAATATAAAAAATTTCCATATTAATGTAAATAACAAACAATAAAAATTTAAAAAAAAAAAACTAAAATCAAATCGCAATTTGCAATGGAAAAAAAGGAAAAGAATTTAAATTTCAATAAAAAAATTGATACTTCAGAAAAAATTCCTTGTAAAGAGTGAAAATAATTGGGACCAAAATGCAGGCATTGGAAAAAGTCAGAGGCTAATGTTTTAGGGTATCTAAAAATTCTTCATTGATTTTAGATCTGCCAAGAGCTTTCTCATTCGAACATCCAAAGAAGAATGAGCAAAATATTTACTATGCTCAAACTCAGACCTCCTCTTTCCTTTTATTTTTTTCGTGTGTTTGTGCGGAGAAAGGGTTAAAAGTCGTGCAGTGAAAGTGAAAAGCGGAGAGCGCAAATATTTAGCGGCCAACAAATATTTACCCTCGCGCCCCCTCGCCTGCAGATTTATGCTCCGTGGAAATTTTTATCTTTCTATATGTGTTTCTCTGGCTGGACAGGCAGAGTAGAAAAGTGCCGAAATTTATTGAACGCAATCTTTTCCTTTGTTCCAGGGGCTTCGGAAAACAAGGATACCAATGCCAAGGTAAGAGAAAAAAACATAAAGAAAGAAAGACAGAGAGAAAGAAAATAAGCAGGCAGAGAGACAGGCAGACATAGTCGATCCCGAGAACACGCATGCTTGTTCTATATCTATTTTCGGATCCGAATGGAGTGACAAAACTGCAATAACCATTCTGGTTTCCGCCTTACCACACTCTGAACTTTATTAGTTTTCGGACACATTGCCCTTCCCTTATTTATTAATTTTCACAAAGCCAAACAAGGTTATTTACTTTTCTTATCAATTGTCTGAACCTCTGCCCTCTTAAATCTTCACTAATTTTATCGATTAATTTTGCTAATTGAGTTTACAATTTTTAATCTTTTTAAAGTACATAAATTAATAATTGATGACTAAAATTGAAAGTTAATGCAATATTTTTTAATTATTACTATCCTGGGGCTTCAAATTTGAAGTTTGATTGAGCTAAAAATTGGAATTATCACGATATCTTACAGGCTGAGGTGAAATGTCAGAAAGTAAAATTTCCAAGATTTTAGACTACTATAAAAATGTTCAAATTGTTTGTTTTATTATTGTTTATCCAATCAATATTTTAGAAATCACTATTTTTACATCCAGTAACAAATGTCCAGTGCTAAAAAACGTTTTATATAAATTTTGAGCTTTGGATCACTTAGCTTCTTTCAGCTTCTTTTAATGTTATTTTTCTTCATTACTTTTCAGACAATAATTACCGGAGCTCATAAAGTTTCCCGTACAGTTGTTAGCCATACAATCGCTTTTAAAAATTTAAAAAGATCCTAACTCATTATGAAGTTTTTTTCAAAATAAAAACGTAATTTTTAAATTCTTTTCACAAAGATCAAAATTATTATTTTTATTTAAAGTTATAATTTCAATCTAATTTATAATAGCAAATAAGAAAATAAATATAACATTTGAAACAGTGAATAGTTTAATTTTATAAATTTATTAAGAAACTTGTATCTCAATTTTCAGTGTGCAGTTTCACGGTGCACAAAAGATGTCACGAGTACGTCTCCTTCACCTGCCCTGGAGCTGACAAGGGTTGCGACTCAGACGTGAGTACCGCAGGGAGCCACCCTGTTTTTCCCCTCTCTATTCTGCATACACGTATTTTTATATGTTTGCCCTGCCTGTGCCATTTTGAGGATTTTCCGCTGCAGCTATAAACATGCAGCCCGACATAAACAAAAGTGCAGCACCGACGGTGCAGCGCAGCCTTTAAAGTACGGGGAGGTCTGCTTTATTCTTGCGGGCGCGCTCTCTCAATCATTCTGCTAGAATAGCGCCGGGACTTGTGTCAACAAATCCCCATCTCGAGCGACAATACACTTTTTCAAGAGTGCCTCTACATACACAAATACGGCACCCATATATTTAAAAAACAAAAAATAATAAAATGCAAAATCTTTGAAGAAAAGGGGGCTTGGCATCATTCCCGGCTCATCAGCAGATCCTTTCTCTTCTCAGAATGGCACAAAATATAATCCCTGATATTTGCTTGTCCGCCCTCATTTTCCGCATCCACCCGACAACGACGATTTCAGCCGGAGATTGCGACCCCACCTTCTGCATATACTAACTCCAGAGAGCGTATATATTTTTTTTCCAGCCATGTACTAATCATGTTTTCATGCAGCTTTCGCGTCGTTTCCTGATTTGCCTCCATTGATCCCGGCGGCTTAGGGATTTATTGATTTGCCTCATCTCTCACACCTACGTCCCAAAATTTTCTCACACGCCCTTCTCCTTGTTAAGAATTCCTCGATCAAATTCGCGGGGGGTGGAACCTGATTTTGCAAACACACACACACACGATGTCAGTCCGACTCATTTATCACGGTTCGCGCGAGTGAAATTCATTTCACTCTGGCAAAAGGACCGCCTGCTGGCTGCCGCAAGAGATGATATAGAGCTTCGGACGTATTGATTTTGCCACTCCGAGGAGCCTCTTGAACCTACGCTGTTTTTAAATGAGCGCTCAAAGTTTGTGCGTAAGGTGGATCAGCCCGAAAAGAGCACCAGAGAATAAAGTTGTGTTTATGAAGAGTAAAAAATGAGGAGTGGAAAGTTAAAATGTTAATAAAAAAAAAAAAATTGGATTTTTATCAAAATTTAATTGCAAAACATAATAGATAATTATGATTAATAAATGGGCCATTCGGACCATAAATGATACAATATATGTTAAATCAATCAATCTTATTTGTTTAAAATATGAATAATTTTCTTACAAAATGTAAGTGATTTAGATCAATTAAAATTGGTTGATCACGGATAGAGGATAGAGCAAAAGTAAACATTGAAATATAATGTGCGGAATTCAATCTATAAACTTTTTCAAATTTATCAATTGTTGACAATTACACAATTAAAAATGTTTTTCATTAAATTAGTAAATCAAAATAAATTATATTCAGAGTGAGGAAAGCTAATAAAAGTAAAGGGAAATAAAATTGAGACATCAGCTCCAGCTGTTGCAATCCAACACGCCACAGAGAATTCGTTTCGCTTTTCTCTCTCGGCGGCTTTTATTTATTCGCCATCATGCAAGATGACGGCGAAATTGCATTACGTTTCCGCCAGCAGATGCGGCACCGGCAGCCAAATTGAGAGCTGGCGCAGCGAAATCGGTCAATCCGACCGACAACCGCTGTCTGGGCCGACTGCACAGAGAAAGACCGACCGATCGGGAAAATCAATTGAAGCCGTCACGGTGACGGGCGCCGCTTTTCTCCGACCGCGGCGGACTACTGCATTTTTCGCCCTCCCATGTGCACAGGTGGCAAAAATTCCAACGTTCGCACCTACGGCACAAGCCGAGATGATAAACTGACAGTTCCAAAATCGCTTCTATCGATATTGCGTTCCGTGAATAAATATAAACGATCATGGACTTAATAATATAAAATATCCTTTGCAAACAAATGCCAGAAATTATTTAAGCCATTAATATAACTGTATATTTAATTGCTTTTTTAAAAAGTTTGTTGATTTTTATTATAAAAATTCAACATTTTCAACACTAACAAGACACAGTGGATCAATTGAAGTTGTTTTAATAAATATTCATGAAGTATTAAGCAATTAATTGCAGTTCGAGATACTAATATAAAAATGTAGTTTTCTGGCTTTAATATCATTTTAATAAAATACAGACACTCTCATTTTATTTTAAAATATTAATTATAAATAAGCCAAAAATAAAACAATTAAATTATATTTCAAAATTTGTTCTAAAATTATTTAAATGCATTTTGTTTAATGGGTTTTAAACGTTTTTGTTACTTGGTGTTTACACAATAAAAGAGAAAAGGCAGGAAAGCAAGAAATAAAATGAATTAACAAAGAATTTTGGCAGAATTAGATCATGTTAGTGTCGAGTTGGTTCGCACGTGACCCGTCGCCCCTTTAATGGCTTCATATCCTCTGTGCGAGGCTCTGTTTGCTGCCGCATTATTCAGTGGCAATTAACATTTGAATGAGCCCCACAATGTCCACACATATTACTTCTCGTGTAGCATGTTAAAATACTACACGAGAATAGTAATAGTGGGTGCTGTGAGTACGCGGCGGCGGCGGATCCACAACTTACTCCCTCGTCGGCACCGAGAACACGAAATTTACATTAGAACTCGGGCTTAATTGCGCAAAATACGCCTTCAGCAGTTGATTAACAAATTCCTCACGACCGCGTGTCCAAAAATTCGCACCATTTGCTCTGAAATCGACAAAGGCTCTATTCAAATGCAAATTTCCGCTCTTAACCAAGTAGAAAGTTGATGCTGAGAGAGAAATTCCACTCCAATGTACCCGATGAATTTACTGATAAAAATTCAGAATCAATTCTAATAGAATTTGAACATAAATATTAGTTATTTAGGATGAAACATAAAATAATATAATTTGACATTTATAAATTATCTTTATACGATTTCGACCTTTGGGATATTTTAATTAATACAAATTTGTTTTTCATTTGAAACTATATTGGTTTGTTAAAAATTTCAAAGGAGTTGAATTTTAATTTATGTTGATTTTATACTTTTCAATATGTAATAATTGTTTGCAAAATTTCAACGAGTCGGACGAAAAATTAAAATTTAGCAGTCTTATTGTTTATTGATTATAAACCAAGAATGGCTTTATAATGTTCTCAAATCATACAAAAAATCAAGTTCCACTTTTCCGCTCCCTTTATTGGCTAATTTAATTAAAATGAATAATTTTCTCCTTCTCCCTGGCTTCAGAGTTTTCAGCCCAATCGCTTTTTAGTCATTACCCACGACCCGAAACTAATGAATCTTTTCTTTCCTCTGCAACAGAACATCAAAACCCAACACAAGTTTAGGACACACACTTACAGCGCTCCCACATTTTGCGATCACTGCGGAACAATGCTCTACGGAATGATTCATCAAGGCAGAAAATGCGAAGGTAACTTTTTATCAGCGAGCTGCGAGCGGATCTGGGGATCGAATCTCAAACTTTTCCTCTTGTCGGATTTGAAAATACTCGCAAACATGATTATTTGGCAAACCCGGTGTTTAATACAAAATTGCCGAGTAGAACGCCGGGTATCGAGGCCAGTAACTTATTCGCACCGTCGTTCGGTCTCGTAACGAGCGCAAAGTTCATTACTTAACTTCTTATTCTGCTGACTCGATGCTTTTTCATCTCGCATTGGAGACGAATCGTCACAGAAGTACGTAATATTATTCCCCATTCATCAGTCGAGTTCTATTGCGAGCAAGTAATTGCAGTAGAATGACAGACAGCCAGCTTTCCCTCTCTTGTCCCACCGTTTCATTCTGTGCAGAAAGTTATTAGGTGTAATACATCTCCCTTTTGTGTGAGTGGCATGTGAAAAGAACGCCACTCAGTTAGGAATAATTCATCGCTATACCCGAGCTTATCATCCTCGATATCGTTTTAAAAATTAATCAAAAATTAGTCAACTTTATAAAAAAGATTTGTTTAAAACTAAACTCAAAATTTTAGTTTGATCTATTAATTAATTGGCGTTGATAGGCTAATCAAAATCAAACACACAACCACCCTCTGAAAAATTAGTGATCATGAAGTGAGATGCGCTTGGTAGCATTTTTTTTCTCATATTAGTCCTATTTTGAGACGAGAATTATGTGCGATTTCTGAAAAGGAGTTGTCTAAGTTCTTTAAATCAACTTAAAAATGTTTGGTCTATTCAAATTGTGGAAAAAAGATTACCTTCTTAAAAAAGATTTTGCACTACCCCGAAATGTTTGGCAATATCTTATCAGTCATGCAGTGCAAGTTGTATTATTTTCTTCTTAAATAATTTGTTCACCCACAGCAGCTAAAAAATCAGATAAAAAAAGATAGCGATCTTTAAGAAATCGCACTGAAAAGTAGCTTTTTGTTGGAATAATTATTATTGTTACTAAAGTGTAAAAATATTTAAAACAATTTCTCTGCAAATTGGAATGCGAGCCCCATTCCAGCTTTGATTGTGTTTCCTTTTATTTAGGAGATTTACTAAACATCATAGTGTACAAATTTTGTTTTCTTTCAATAACTCTCTTTTAGTGCAACTGGCAGCTGTTTTGGTATTCGAATTGAACAAAATAAGAGATTAATTGAGAGACAATTCTGTGAAGCGTATCTCCCTGTAATATCTCACTATATTTTTCTACTCAGCTTGACGCCCATTAGTGCCACTTGAGTGGCTCTCACGTTATTGTGTATTGATCCATCTCGGTGGAGCCCAAATTCTTTAATTGACAAAGAGCTTTCTTCTCTTTCTCTGCTACTTCTGTAAATATTTGCAACATTTTGGCCGAGTTTGTGCTTAGAGAGAATGATTGATGTTCTGAATTAGAAGAAGTGCCAAATCTGCAAGTCGGAATTCGCAATGCTTGCGAATCTTCCTACTCGCTAAGTGCATTTTCGCACTCGAGCTATTTTTGGATTAACTCACGTTTTCCTTTTCTGCTCTTTGTCTTCTTCACCTTTTGAATAATTTAAGAACTCGTGTCGCTTATGAATAAGTAATCACTTAACAGCACTCTGGAGGTCCCTCCTTTTTATTTCCCCTCGCAGCAGAAGACTCATCTACATACACACGTAAAATTTTAGATTCCGCCTTCCTTCCTCTCGCGAGCCGGCCAGTTTTAAAACAATTTCCTCCGCCTCTCCTACGTGAAAAATTCATCCGAACCTTTTAATACAACATCCTAATAAATCAGAATAAATAAATAAATGAAAAGACGTCTGGAAATTACGTTTAAAACTGACATGCTCAGCTCATGTTCTAAAAATAATAATAAACTCCTAATAACTCCCTTCTTTCTTAACTTGTTGTAATAAAAATCTTGTAAATAATTTAACATCATTGATTTCCACCTGTATCTCCATGTTTTAGAGCATGCCGATTATTTACATTCTGTGCTGATTTCTTCATGTTATGTGTGCAGATTATGTTGATGACTAAACCATGTTTTGCATCGCCGTTTTCAGCCTTTGTTTCCACTTTTGATTAATACGCATTTGTTCACATTTTCTCATTTTCAGATTAACCAATCCTTCTCCCCCCCCCCCCCCCTTTCCGACGATCCCAATTAGGAACTTGGAAAATTAGCTCTTTAACCCTAGTTGCACTACTAGTGTCTTAATTCTTCCAAGTTCCTAGCTTGGTCCCGCATCCGAATAAAACAAAAAACAACTCCCCTATGTTGTTCCCAATTGTGTGAGATGTTAATGGTTGTTTGCAGCGTAACTCAAAAAGGCTGTGCTCCTCCTTTTCCTCTTCGGTTCAATCAGTTTCAATTAATTAATTTGATCCACATATTGAATTGAGTTAGAATTGATTAATGTGTGTTACTTATGCGATTGTTTATTTATATTATGAGTTCTGATTTGCTCATGTGTGTTTTTCTCTTCTCTCTCATCCATCGCAGTCCCCAGAAATAAAGAAACACAAATGGATCGATTACACATATTTCTCGCCCACTTTCTGCGATCACTGTGGCTCAATGCTGCACGGCATAACTCATCAAGGCCTCAAGTGCGAAGGTACTGACTGAATTAATAAGTTAATTTCTTTGATAATATTCACCTCTTCAAAAGTCACAAAACGAGCACCGAGTTGATTTATTTTATAATAGTTTGTTTACTGTATTAGTCCGCTTTCAAATGATAAGGCGGCTCGGTTAATTATTTCCAAGCATCCCCCGATCAATTATTCAGCCTTGAATTAAACTTGTTGACCGCACCGCGGGGATTTGCATTGAAATGAGTCGTGGCCACTCGGCTGACCAGCCACTATAATATATGTAATATGCATTAAAGTGTGCGGCGGCCGGCAGGAAATTTTGCTCGGCGCTGCAATATTGCGCAAATTAAATCCGCCGCCGCCGCCGCTGCCGCGACTGGCCGGTGCAAACAAGAAAAGCCTTTTGCTGCTTTGTTCACTTGAATTATGGTGATTAAATTTTAGCCGTCCTTTCGCGCGCGCCGCTTTTGAATTATACACACTCGTATTTTGTATAGCTCTAGTCCAGTGCACACTAATGGATGTCTGTGAGAATGTGAATGTGTGCACTCGGAATTTGCACTCGCCGCACCGATGTGTGTGTTTTGTTCAAAAAAATTCGTGTTTGCACAAATTCAGTGTGTCTGTAGGTGTTAGCTCTGAGCACACATTAGTTTGCTGTCGTGCACCTAATTTATGACGCATGGACGGATATTATATGCAAACCCCTCGATAGTTATGGCACTATACAATTAAATTAGGTTTAAATGTCTTTAAAAAGGTTATAAATAACTTTAAAAATGAAAATAATTCTCTTAAAGTGTAAAACAACATAAAAATGGCTTACAGAAAAGGTGCTAGTATAAAATGGAGATAGTTTAAAACATCAGAAAATTTTAAAATTAAAATGGAACCTTTTAATATTTTTATTTTTATCCTTGAAATAAATAAATGAATTTTTTTAATGAATAATTGGATTTCACCTCAGTATATAGATCATCATTTAATTTTAAAAGTTGAAATCTTTTAATCTATTGAGAAAAAGTGTAAATTTTTCTCACTACTTGAAGCATCTTCAATGTACTCTAATTTTTATCAACACGGAAGATAACAAAACGCTGGAGATGACTGATTAGTTGATAAAAAATATATACCTTATATCGCTTTAATCTTTTGAGCATCAGTTGGGTTCTAATAAGTCATCATTATATATTTTTTTTTTTAAATATTAAAACATTTTAATTCAAGCAAAATTTTAAACACATTTTTTATGCCAGACGTTAATTTGAAAGCTCTTGAACCAAAGGATGAATCGCTTGTTGTATGGTCGCCGTTTCACCAAAGTTTTAGCGCCTGTCAGATTATGCAACCTGAACGACGGAAGTGCTTTGCAGCACCGCGCCGGTCTACTTTACAGGAGTCGTGCGTCCTCTGCTTTTTACGCTCTCTCGTCGTCTATAACGCGTTTAAACTTTGCGCCTTTTGCACGAGCCAACTTTTGATAATTAGGCATGCACGAGAGACGCCCTTATCCGCCGGGGGTACGTTTTTCTCCGCAGAGAAACTTGGATTGCTTCGTTACCGTGGAAATTTCAAGCACGAGCAACGCTTTCTGCGAGTTGGAGTTTGCTTTGAACGCGTAATTCGGCAGCTGTCAAAATAATTTGTTTACATTCGACCACGGAAGGAAGGCGTGGGCGACCATTTCTCACGCTCGGCGAGTGTCATTACGCGCGTTTGTTGCGCTTTGTCACGCCCGAAAAGTGAAAAGTGGCGGCGCTCCGAGCCCGCGTGATTACGAGACACGCAGGCTCCTTCCTCCGCCGGCAGACTCGGAAACGAACAGCAAAGCTTTACATACTAGCCAAGACCTACTGGAGAACGGGCCAAATTCAAAGATTGAAAAATAAAAGCCAATCGAAAATTCATTCTTAAATTTCTTTAAAATGAGAAAATTCCAGCTCTGTTTGTGAAATTTTATTTTATTGTAAAAAAAAAGTTCTTGTTACCAAGGGCAATATTTATAAATTTTTTTTATTTTAACTTTCAAATCCAATCATCAGTGTTTGTATTGAGAATTTTAAAATTGTGTGAAATCAAATTCAAACACTAACTAATTTATTCATAGATTTTTTTTCTAAAACCCACTGACCAAAACTAGAAGTTTACAATAAAAATAGAAATTCAATGCTTTTGAAGAAAGTTTGAAATAAAATTTAGATTTTTTTACGAAATTTACTTCACCATTTTTCAAGCAATCGCTTTTTCAATGCAAACAGCCAGAATAAATACATTCCTAACAAACAATGGAAGTTTGTCAGCAAAGAGCTGCTCGTCTTTGGGAAGGCCTGTAATCCAGTTGGTCTTGATCCTAACTCACAATACTTGGTCTTAATACACGTGTGTGTGGCAAAGCGGGAGCACGCGAATTGCGGACCAGAATTGTAAAGAGGCTCGCATGATGGGAACACAAAAGCCCGAGCTGGATAAAGCGAGAGCAGCAATTTTCGCAGTCGCCATGTCAGGTGTTTGAAAGCACTTTTAACTCTCCAGCCGCGCCTTTTACGCCCGCGCCTAAACGAGGAAGGACTATGTAGAAATTTGGGCCGCGTGCGTGCACTGCGACAAGGGCGAAAGACCCGTGCATTTACATTTTAAATTATTAATTGGGAGGCAAAAGCAAATAGCCGTGCCACTTGAAATGAACCCCGTCGCCTTTATTTCCAAGAGTTTAAGCCCAGCCTAATTACTTGTCGAAATCCTTGCCAACGAAGGCAAGAAAGAAAGAAAAGGAAAATCGATCGCGGCTGTGACCGCTTTGTACTTTGAGCAGTCGTTCCTCTATCGGAAAAAGGTTAATCAAGGTGCTCGCACGGCGAGCTCAATTTGTAGTACTCAATTGGCAAGACAATGATAATAAATTTTGGCAATCGACAGGAACAGCGCTGTACTTGTAATCTATTTGCAAAGTCAAGTTCGCACTTAAATCTTTCATTAATTTAGAGAAAACCTTTAAAACTTTAATGAAATACCGAAAATTACAACTTTTCATTAAATATGCAAAAATTGAGCCAATTTTAATTGCTCTTACGGGCTGAGGAGTGGAAACTTTGAGAAATAAAATAAAAATTTGTCCATTACATTCCATTCTTTTCAGTAATTTTTGACCCTTTTTTACTTTTTATAAGGGCAATTTGTACATTTATTTTACACGAATGTATTAAAGAAAGTTGTCAGTAACTTTTATACCCTCACAACATCTCATTCCTACTTAATCACTTAGTACTTAATTAACCACCCCTAAACTAAATTCTGGCTTTACTGACATACATCCATGAAACAAAGTTACAAAGTCGAGAGGAAAATCGATTCAACCCACTCATTAGAGGGAATTTATGACACAATAATATACAAAACCACTTACATTCGGCTGCCCACGCAGCCATAAACATGTAATTAGCAACGTCACCAAAAGAAAAAAAGACAGTTCTTCGTTTGGTTTGCTCCTCTCCCGCGGCAACACTTTTTTTACCTTTTCCTCGTCCGCGTGTTTATTCTGCGCGTCGATTTGGTTGGTTGCTTGTTTAGAATTTGAGTTAGTGAGAGAGAGAAAGAGAGAGAGAGAGGGATGCTGCCTCTCTGTGTATTTATGGTACTGTGCGCTAATCAATACTGAATGTATGCAGGCAGCAGCCACCACTCAGTTTCGCCATCAAAACGAGAGACAGAAAACTGACTCTATATATTATGCCGCCAACCGGTTGAAGCGCATAATCGGTGTCTACTTTCAATTACGAATTATTGCGTAGTTGCAAAATATTTTATGTATTTTAAATTTAATGGAAAATGTAAGCTTTGGCAATTATTGATAATGTGTAATGAAGGAGTAAAAATTAGTGAGATACATTTAAAAATCTATTTTAAATTAAAATAATTGTTCAAAAAATTATTTTCTTTGAAATTTGTTAGGTGATCCAGTATGACATTTAACGAAAACCGTTTAAGAAGAGATATTGTTTCTAGATCCAGATATGTTTTACCGGCATTGCAAAATGAACACAACTTTATTTTACTTCTTTCTATTTTTTCAAAACTTCAGATGATTCTTTTTTTTTTTATTAAATTTACTAGTTTATGATCTGCTCTGTAAACGAGAAGAGTAAAAACGTTTACAATTACAATTTTTTTGTTGATATAATTTGACTAATATATTTGAGTCTGTTAATCTGTAAAACTACTTTTTATAGTTAAATATTCTGGTGCCTGATTTTTTTTAAATAAAAATTTCGATCAAAACTTTATGCTAACTCGCAGTTTTACAAATTGCGTGTCTTCTCACCAGAAAATTCGCATCGACGGCAGTCTAACGGTTAATGAGTATGGATTGCAGCACCCCCGAGTTAATTGGCCCGAGCCGTAATTGAATCAAAAAGTCGATTAATGCATCTGGGTGGGTCGGACGCACTGACGTTGGTTCGGCCGGCTGGGCGGCGACGCAAAACTCTCGGCCCAGCATCAGGTGTGTTTGCGTCATCGGCCGCTGCTGGACCAAATCCGCCGCCGCCGCCGCGCGCGCGACCATGACCCTCACTCTCGGGATCCGCGGCCCGGGTTTCTCGCGGGCAAAATTGGGTCGCAGCCACCCTGCTGCTGGTCGGTCTGTGTACCCGGTCTCTCTCTCTCTATCTCTCGCTCCAAATTTGTTGATATTGATTTTATCCCGCAACTGTTGCGAAACGAAAAGGCCAATGAGAGAAACGACAAATTACTGAGAGAATGTTACTGCATGAAAATTAGTTTTAAAATAAAGTTGATCTCTATCCATCAATTACATCTGGACAACATCAAAATCATTTGAGAACTGAGGTAGATGATTTAATCCGTTAATATAAGTAGTTCCTAATTTTCACTAAATAATATTTTTTTTTCTTTTTTTTTTTAGCACTTTGATGTTGACCTCTAATCTTATTTACACGCAGAATTATCAGTTCAAAAAGTTCTGAATTGTTTAATAAAATAAACGCTAGCATTAAATAATTCA